ATTATTTTGATACGAAATAGTAAAAATATTGTGAAATATGAATTCAAAAATTTTATTCTTTCAAGTTTTATTTCAACATTAAATTACAAATAATTAAATTCAGTTATATTTACAAACTATATAGTATTAATATAACTTAAATTACCTAAAATGTATGATTCAATAAGTAATTGAAATATATTTAGGAGTAAGTACCATGCAATTGGGGTAATTGGGGTCAAGAACAGCGCAAAAAGTCCTCTGACGTGTTTTGATACCACGTAAAAAAATGTCCTACTAACTAACACTGGGTTAGTCTTCGTATATATATACTAAATCTCGCTTACTATATGCTTAATCCCGCCTCGTGTATTTACTTTAAAACTTACTTAAGTATTTGAATACTTATGAAAATTAATAATTAAACTTTTAGGATATTTACATAAATTATCCATGCAAATGGGTTAGGAGTAAGGATTCGTATTATGTGATCAACAATTTAATCATTTTCATGAAATATTTGATGCGTACAATGGTCGATAAACATGACTTTTGTACGATAATAATTTCCAAAATATTAATTAGAAAAGTATACTTGAAAACAACGCTCCCACTTTTCAATTTAGCCTACCTATGCCTTTAAATACTACTGGGATTAATTTAATCATTTTGGTTTTTCAGATTAGTTTAGAATAGGTTAGACTACAAAGTCGAGGTTGTAAAAATCAATCTTTGTCAAATCGTTAATATTTCAAAAATATAATATAGCTGTAAGTAGGTAAATATATCAGTTTTATAAAATTAAATTTTCTATTATACTTCGGTTTTAAGAGCTTACTAATAAGTTTAGAAATTGTAATCTTAATCTTAACAAAAATAATTAAACATAATACAAATTCAATTAATTGAGTGTACCTAACTCTTTTAATACCATTTTGATATTTTGTTTTACTAACTGCAACAACGTTTCTGAATGTAATTTGCCTTTGTCATAGGCCCCATGGGCCATGTACATTCTTTTCTTGTAATAATCATGCAGAATCTTGTTACTGTTCCATATTTAAATCTATAAAAAAAATACATATGCATATTGTTATTACAATCTACCACACATACACACACCCACACATATAATACCGATGTTATATCTCACGTCAGTATTTCAATCACCAAACTATCTGCTGTTATAACCTGCTCGTTGTTCTATTGCAAATAAAAACGTTAAAAATACCTAACATTACAATACGACCGGCTGATCAGTAAGTAAATACAGTTACTATTTCGTAAATGCTTATAATGTAATATATTATGCATATTATGTGCAATGTGCATATTATATAAAAATTAGTCAGGTCAGACGTTTGATACGACCAATATTATAGTCGAGCGTAGCTTGTCGCAGACTCAGGCTGTGGCGTTATACTTGTATAATAGTAATGATTATTATTAAACGAGCAAGAGGACTTCACCCGTAGCACGCGTGGCCGTTTCATCACAATAGTATTATGCTGCAACTCGATTCGAAGAGTCTTCCTTTGATTTTTAACGTCATGTTAATAACATAACACTGTTGCTTATTTATTTTTAAAATAATAATATCATACACAAACCGACGTTCACGGTGCGAATTTACTGCGGTCGTTGTGGCGACCGCACTCCGAAGCGGTCGCCCCAAAACTCCTTGTACAAAATATATACGTAGGTACGTCTATTGCCGCCTACAGCAGCTATAATACACGAAACTGTACTACAAACTTTGCGCCGAGTTTAAGAGCAATGGTTTGAACAAACAATTCGATTACTCGATTTCGGAAAAATCAATATCAATTTAGTGGAAGCCATTCATTATTATGTATATACGTGGTATACGTCTCGTATTGTATATTGACGTTAATCTCGCGCATCTTCAATATTCTCGTCGAGTAGTTATCCACTTCGAGTTTGTTTACCAGTAAACTACTATATCGAGGAATCTGCTGAGATTGGGAGTGATTGCGGAAAAGCATTATTGTATAATATCATATCATACATCTGCGAGTGACCAACCGCTATTACTCACCCCTCCATATGCGCTCGCATACGAGTTTGACGATTATATTATTATTGTTAGGCACATATTATCATACGACTCAACGCCCTGCACTATTATACGTAACGACGAACTGCGCAAAGGCGGCGCGTTTCCACTATACAAGTTCTCTGAAGTCCTTTGTTGTGATTGGTTGGTCAGGTTAGGTTACCACACGACTGACGACTGACCACGTTACCGTGTTGTCGAACATAGCTGTACATTGTTCGTGTACACGGCACGCGCGTATGGTGGAAACACTGGAAACCAGCCTAGACTCACGGCGTGAAGTTGTACGCCGCCCGTCACGGTATAGGTACGTGTTATACCGTGGTTGCGAGGTGGTATATTGTTGTTGATAGGTACAAAATAAATTTATCGCATAAATATAATATTACTGCGGCGCGGCTAGTAGTACAGGTTAGTATCGTTGCGGCAAAGTTCGAAAAGTTTTTCGATATTTTTTAACGACAAAGAGAATATTTTTTCGCGCGGTAGGTACTACCTTGCTATCTTGTATTTCAATCATGACACGTGTACATAATACTACCTCTGCGCGTGTTAATGTATAGGTTATCCTCGCGTGTGCTTATATTATTATTAATATTAAATAGGTACAGTGTGTCGACTATTTTTTTTGTTTCGAGTGACGGCACGGATAAACCATTACATCGATATATTGTTGTAGTAGGCATACTTATATTTCTACTATCGTGTACCTGCGGATTATTACTACCGGCCAGACTGCAGTATTCTGCAGACGAAGAACGTTATATTTTCAGTTTAATTCTAAAACCCACAATAATTGTGTTATACCAATGAAATATAATTATGATCAGGTGGTTATATAATATACACATAATATTATGTGTGAGAGTATATTATTATTATTATTATACATGCCTAACGCAGAGTATTTATAACAAGGTGCAATAAAATAAAAACCACCATGTTGTGCCTCACCGCCTCCACTGCTTCAAACGTTTTGATTTGACAAGGGGACTGAGACCCCGCAGAGGAGATTTTATGGGTTTCGATTCGTCGAAATAATAAGTTACAGCTTCGGTTTCAATTTCGGTGACTATTCTAGAATATCAAATCAACGTTTCACTGTTATTATAACATAACTATTTTAGTTATAATTAAAGTTTATAAGGCAAAACACATAATATTAATGCAATATTGAAATTTGAAATAATACTACACATAATATTCTATTTCTAAAATCAAAACCACTAATAAAACAAAACAAAACTGGTGTATAGAATTCGAAAGGTAACTTTACGGTTATTAATTGTGTATTAAAAGCCGATCGATTATCACTTTGATGAATAGTTAAAAATCATGAAATAAGTAAATTTTAAAATAAATCGTCTAGGGACACAAATATAAAATATGTTATGAATAGTTACTATGCATTATTATTATCAGCTATGGTTGTTATAGTTGGCGAAAAAAAGGTTTACTTGTTTACTGGAAAATAAATTATCTATAAAATATGACTTTTCTAAACCCTTTTTTTCAGTACTCCACTTACTTCTATCTGATTACGATTTCTAAAATAAAGTTGTAACACGTTTGGGCATTTTATCAAAAAACGTGACACGCTTGAGTATGAAACATAATACGTATGACGGACACTATTTATTGAAAAATCATTTGTATATCAACTGTAAAAATAATAATTGGCTATCAATATTGAAATTGTGTCAAATATCTTTACAATCGAATAATTTTTATAGAAATAATACAGACATGTAGAACTATAACTAAGATGTTTTTTTATTTGTTTTATATCATTAAAATGTAAAAGTGTTGTATAGTATATCTACCATATGCCATAGTACCATGCCATATCGCTTAAATACTTTAAGTTATTATTAACGATAACTCAGTTAGCACTTAAGCATACTAAATACTAAAAGTGTATACTTATTAGTTATTATATAGCTACTTATTCTGTTTCAATGCCCAAATGCGGTGGAATTTTAAGTATATCGATTGCCCTTTCAATCCCCTCCCCCCCCCCCCCCATAAACATTATTTGGATTTGGAATACCAAACAGGTAAAAATTCCCAAACGTGCTGCACTGATACAAATCTCAAATAATCCTATACCTACTCATTATGGTACACCTAGGTAGGTTCCAATGAGGTTTAGAAAGCATCGTTTTCGAACTGTATCCGAGCCCTCCATCTCGGTGATTCACATTTTCGAGTTTATATTTTTATTCACAGGATTCTACGATATTGACAGATGATTCCATTTAAAAACAAAAACTATGAGACATCGAAATGATAGATAATAATTATTAATAAATAATAATCAATTAAATTAAACAACCATTATTACATTTTTGTCACACTTTAGTTCTCAATATCATTAATTTATGGTGTCCGGAGAGAGGCCGCCATCCCCCAACCGGACATGGCTGAAACCTACGGGTGCCCACTAGAAATTCTGCCAAACAAACACACACGTGTTCCAAACCCTACAGTTCCAAAAACCCTACAGTACCAGTGTACCACAACCTACAGCTAATGGCCTTATTTGTCGAAGCTTAAAAAAAAAAATCATTAATTTATCATTAATCATTTTACTTACTACTTTAACGTATTTGTTTTCATTTGTATACAATTTGAAAACAAAAAATTGTAATATTTTATTTTATTTTTACCATAAGTCATAACTGGGAACGCAAGTAAAATAAAAAAAATCTTTTGTACAACGAAAATTTACGAAATCGTGCAGAGAGATTGTTCATCATTGTGTGTCACCCCTACTACTCCTCCTCCTTCTCCTATAAGCTAATCCTCCTTCTGTCGCCTCTCCTCCTCCTCCTCCTCCTCCTCCTTGTAGCTATTTAATAATGACCTTTCTATAGCAGGAGTTTGGTTCGTCATCTGCAGACATTGTTGTGACCTGTGGTGTATTTTTTTTGTGTACCCGCAGACGAATGGGCGGAAAAAGATTGACGGCTGACGGTCCGGTGTCCGGTTGATGGCCGCGGAACGCGATGCGGGCACCGGATTCGAAAACAACGGCTGCGGCGGCCCGCGGCTGCCACCAATCGGCGCGGCGGTGCGGTGGACGGCCGCAGCCGCCGCGGCCGCCGCACAGCCGGACAGTCAGAAGGAGATCAGGTTTCCGGTCACAAAGCAGCCACCACCGTCCGCGCCGGCGCAGGCGCAGGAGCTGTACCGGCGGTTGCACAGCCGATCGCTGTCGTCGCTGCCGCCCGAGCCGTTTATGATAATGCGGTCGAAGGCCCTCAACCGGAGAGTGTGCATAAACGTGGGAGGCGTCAAGCACGAGATTCTGTGGCGTACTCTGGAGAGGCTGCCGCACACCAGGTTGGGCCGGTTGAGGGACTGCAACACGCACGAAGCGATTGCTGAGCTGTGCGACGACTACTCGTTGGCCGACAACGAATACTTTTTCGACAGACACCCGAAATCCTTCAGCTCGGTAACTTTAATAATATTGACTATTGTGTTGTGTAATTACCTTAAGGCCTAATAAAAATATGATTTAAAAAAAAATGATACTTACTGTGAATAACTACGTTACATTGATGTGCCGCTCATTGCTGTGGTTTTATAGTGCGACAACAAAGTGCACTAAAAAATGTATCGATAAAAAATTTTTTTTAATTCATTAAAAACGTATACCTATGCGGCAATGCGATGTAATAAATGTGTAAAATACAACAATTTGATAAATAAATTTACACACATCAAATATAATATTAGGCTTGTTAAATCTTAAGAGCGTCTAGGTGGAAATCGTCTCAATTAGACTAATAGCGAATAAGTTCTGTAACTTACTGTAAGACCCTCGAGAACCAATATTTCAAAAAAACTAACCATATGAGGCTAACACGGCGGTTAGGGTCTATACGGTCCGGATCTTGCACCTAATGGTTTTCGTTTTTTCACCAAGTTCGAAGAGTAATATATGTCTGTCGACGAAGAGGTGAGAGAGAAAAGTGGGTCAAAGAGATTATAAGTTCTTTGGCACTAAAAAATAAAAGATGATGCCACGACTAAAAAAGTCCATTGATCTTAACAGCGATTATGTATAAAAATAAAAATATAACTTTGTATAACAATCCCTGTATATTTTATGTAAATATATACGCTTTCCAATTTTTAGACGATTGTATGGCCTTATTTTTTGTATCATTATTACATTAGTTTAATAGTTTTTGTTTGGAGTAGTACCTCAAAATATATGGAACGGCAAAAATATATTTAAAAAACAAATCTTGGAAGACCGTAAACACATAGTGGTTTGGCGTGTAGATTACGTGAGACCGAAACCGATTTGTTCTCGGAGACTAGACCCTCCCTTCCACATATGGGCACATAACAGTGAGGCAAATCGACAAACAACGTTGTACATTGTGTCAACGATTCAGCGAGACAGATACACAAACGCTAATAGTTGTATACTCTCATTTCGTACACTCGTTCAAAAGTGATGTTATAATCTAATATTTCATTCGGTGTTCCTTTTTTTCTTTAGAAGTGCGTGACTGAATATTGAGAGACAATTCTTAAAAACTAGGACTTTGTACGGATTTGTTTCCCAAAACGTCTAAGGTCTAACACGTATGGATACTATATATGTTATATTATGACCTGTCCCGTGGATGAATAAATTAGTTTATATGAATCACGGCCAATCGCAATTGCTCGTCGTCCAATCATCCGCGTGGACGAATATTCGTAGTGCGACTTTTACGAGGTCCGAACGAAAAAGATCAATAAAATATAATAAAATAAATATACTTTGCTCCCGCCCGTTCGCTTGTCGACTTTTGACTCGAATCGTTTCACCGCGCCGTGTATTATTGTTGCATCGAACTGTCTCCAAGAATGCGACGATCGCACTAGTACAATGTACATTTTACTATACACACAAACCGTGGTCTAATCGACTCACACGTAAACGATTTCAGAAGTCAAATACAAACTAATCGGCCCACCATCCCTCTTTTCCGTCCGAAATCCTGAACATTTATTATATCATTCACGTTCAGTGTTTTTCTCCACTTCAGTTAGATATAAACGCATAAACAATAATAATTTGACTATACACGTGCCACGTATGTTCCCCATAACGAATCATTATGTTAGTTTTGTTTGTCAAAACCCCACTGCAGTATACTTCCGTAATTGTTTTTCTCCGATTCCTAACTAGTCTGTGATTTATTCGTGTATTGATACTAACCACAGGACGAAAACATATATTTTGTTTTTTACTATTAACGCCACCCCCCACGGTTCTATAATAATCGGATAAAGTATCACACCAACGTCAGTTTATGTTTTGAGAAATATAATTTTATTTCTTTATTCAATTTTTGACAGCATATGACACCATTTTTTACTGTTCAAAGAGCCGTTTTTGTAAGTACAATTTACTGTTAAAAACAATAGTTGATCTGAAAAAAAATTAATATATTAGAATTCCCAAATTACAGTAGTATAACTTATTATTTATTAGATATTATATCTATATATTATATAATATATATGATGTATGTAAACTCTGCCAAAAAACGATCAGATTCTCTAATTTAAACTCGAAATTAATGCAGATTTTTTTTCTAAAAAACACTGTAAAATGTTCACTTCAATGTATTTAAAATGTTGAATAATCGTCTATAATGAAAACTAATTCCTGGATTTCTTGGTTTGTGCTTCATATTCGACGGATGAGAGGGTCTAATTCCTTTTAGACTCTAACCAACGACAGAAACAGATACATTAACCGGACAATAAGATACGACTGTAACTAACAGAGTACCTATACCAATGAAGTAGTGTTTTAATCAGGAAGAAATGATTAAAATAAATCCTTTTGAAAAATCGGTATAAATCGTGTTGACAATTGAGTTTGATTTTCACAAAAAGTATCTCATATATTATGTATAGAAAATTATAACGAGATGAATAATAGAGTGATCTTTGTGGATGAGTGAAAGCCTTGTTCTTCAACGACAATTATTATATAGTCGAGGCTCCATACTTAAAGACAGACACATTAAAAAACCAATTCCGAGTGCAAGATAATACCATCAGATACAAGTGATTCATTGAATAATATATAGAGGCCAAGCAATAAATTCTTCGAGTAAATATCGAGTCTCCTTCATTACAATCTGAACCAAAAATTTGACTTTCACTATATTCTTATTAAATATAATTTTTCTTAACTCTTTGATGAGGGCCCAGAGCGAGGATAGTCAGCGAGAAACATGGGCGGTAATAGACCCTTTTAGCAGGGGGGGGGGGGTCAACAAATATTTTAACTGTATATATTAGTAAATTAGTCCAAATTTTTAGGCTAGTAATACCTACTATTAAAAAAGTAACGTAAATTTTATCCATAATAATTGTTGTTGTATCTATAAATTGTATTTTTTTCAAATAACATGAATTTATCTATTCTATTGTCTTATAACTCCATGAGTCGCTCAGCTGGTCTCAATGTTTTAAATGCTCACAGAAATGGTATATACCGTATGGTTAGGTACCTACCTATTATTTGATAAAATATGACAATAATAATGATATGTAACTCGCGCGTCCGGTGTGCCACAGGTGTTGAACTTCTACAGGACGGGCAAGCTGCACCTGGTCGACGAGATGTGCGTGCTGGCGTTCAGCGACGATCTGGAGTACTGGGGCGTGGACGAGCTGTACTTGGAGTCGTGTTGCCAGCACAAGTACCACCAGCGCAAGGAGCACGTGCACGAGGAGATGCGCAAGGAGGCCGAATCGCTGAGGCAGCGGGACGAGGAGGAGTTCGGCGAGGGCAAGTGCGCGCACTACCAGAAGATGCTGTGGGACCTGCTCGAGAAGCCCACCACCAGCATCGCGGCAAGGGTAAGTCGTGGTCGTCGTCACCACACGCCGGCTGCACGCACGACGGGTAAGTCCCCGACGCCGCAGCGGGGCCGCATGTCGCGGCACGCAACCAGGGCTCAGGCGACGGTCGCCGTCGTCATCATCACGCATTTATTTATTTTTACGACATTTTCTTATTTGGCCACGAACCTTTTTCTCGGGTCACGGCAACGCGCATCGTCGCAGCTAAATTGCGATTTATGTGGTGCCTATTCTATACGTATACGTCCGATAAAGGGGTTAGTAGTACACGATACTCGTCCAATGTGTTATTATAATTGTATAATTGTCTACTAACAATATTAGGTACCCACTTACATTAAATCGTTTTAACAAGCTAAACACGGATAAAAAAATTACACGTATTTCGCATGCGACCCCGCATAAATACTGACAATATAAATTTGCAGTACCAGTTCACTGGTAATGCGCGTGTTTCGCTATATTTCTGCAGTGAGCATCTTTCTTCGTCTTCACAGTTTCACACGTTCTACGTCAAACTACCTTTATCACTTCTATCATTTGATATTTTGCACAAGCCGATGAGTTTCCCCGTTTTTACGAATTATAGGTCTAGAAATTGGGCATCGTGGAAAATGTAAATGTGGAATTTTACAAAAGTCATATACCCGTCACAGAACTTGTTTGATCGCATCTCTTTTCGTACGTATTTCTCCACGCACGGAAGTGTCTTTCTTTTAGTATAAAAATGTTCGACTGATTTAAAAAGTGATATTGTGGTAAAGACAAAAACGCGTGAACTGCAATATTATACGAATACCCAGATGACATCATTTATAGGTACTCGACATGATGTAGATGACACATATAATGGACGAGTATAAGCTGCGATTACCCATTTACCCGAGAATGTATAATATAAAATATGCATCATACGAGTGCCGGGGAAATCGTCTCTCCACATTAATAACGGAAGCGACTAGTGGGCTTCGCCGCTTCGGCATAGGATTTATCATTTATGAGTCACATGATCAAAGGTACTCTTTTCCGTAGGTCTCTCAAGCCCCAAGTCGTTGTTAGACCCTAAAGACTCTCTGAAAACCGGAGGGGCTAGACAAATAGACATTTAACCTAGATCCCGCTTATATAGTTACGCATTGTGGATTCTCCACCGTGAAAATTGGGAGTGGAGAGACGATTTTCAAATTTTTCTTTTTTCTATCATATTATATTTTGTTTGATACATTTAATGGTTTTTTTTTTTTTTTTACTATTGTTTTCCTTCCTTTTCGAGTGTGTTAACAGGGAATTGTTGTTGCACGTGGCTTCTTTAATGTATGAAACGAAAACTTTTTTGGTTTTTTATATACACTGGCCGCGTGTGTACTATCAACGCATCATATACGCTGCAGTTTTCTCCTAAAGGCGCCTGCAACCAACAAACTTATTGTAAAACGCATAGAACTCGGCAAACTATTTAAAAAAAAAAAAAAAAACACGGCTATTACAAAATATTATACGCGTGTGTGGAATGTGTTTTGCGCAATGAACCTGTTCGTCACAGAAATCGACAGTCGGCTCCGATTGACCCCGAACACGACTATATTGAAACATTTTTTTTACTACGGACGTTTCGGGCCACGTGCCGGCGCCGGGACAGCCATCCGGTGAGCGCGATCGACTTCCCGGCCTCGGAACCTGGACCGAACTACCTCACGACACTTGGACGAATTAAAAATTGATTACAAATCTCACTGCAAACATTGTATACGACAACCACATGCCTACCTATGATACATATTATAACATTATACGTATATTGTGTGCGAATGGTTTTATGGCGTTTGATTTTGGTTTTATTGGCAACACTGCGGCTTTCTATGTGAATTTTGCTTGGTTTTTCTATAAAAGATATAAGAATGTGTGTGTGCGTGCGTGTGTGTTTGTTTATACACAAATTATATATTATATATAAACATAACATATTATTATTTATACGATACCGACCATTATAACTGTATCTTTGTTTGCGTACCCACACGTTCCTGCAGTGGTGTTTGCTCTGTATTGTAATATCGCTGGCCAATATCAATAGTTACATATAGGATAAAATACCCGACAGCTTTTCAGACGGTCTATTTATGACGAATTTACACCCACATTTGTTGTTTCCGTTTTACAAACGCATACAGGTACCTATAACTATTGTGTTCAACAGAATCCATTTTGTGTCGTTAATTTTAATGTTATGATGGTAAATTGACCCGCTAGCATTAAACTCGAAGGTAAAAATATTATAACCAAAGGGACCTCGAAGGCTTTTATTTATATTTAAAAGAGATTTATTGTATAGCATTTTAAAACTGCAATATTTCAAATGGTTAACCATTTACCGAACTGTTGGTTTCTTAGTCTTATACCATTTTTTATTCACTTCTAGAATAAGAATGAAATTAACTCAAGAGTACCTACCTACATTCAACGATAGTCTTTATACATTTTAATAATTGCCTTGGTATCAATTAAAATGAATGTCATGGTTAACGATATTACAATTAAATAGGACCACATTAAAGTGCACCACATCTAACTGTAATACTATTACGCGTACCTATAATGTAAAATTGGTTTTTGTACTTATAAAATTCAAAGTCTCTGCTATTATATTATAATTATTTGTTAGAATTAAGATAGTATTATCTGCGTTACACACCTACTTACTTAGAAGAATTGTTTTCCAATTTAAAATATTACATTTTAATAGTAATTTGCAAATAAAAATTACATGACCGTAACCATACTAACTATGCACCATTATAGTATTATGTTATAAAACTATCCATGTGCTAACAAGATATTTTCCTTCTCGTTAATTTTTATAATTATTTCTATGATGGTCATTTAACCCGATATTAAACGTGAGACTTAAAATTTGGAAGTATGAAAACTAATCTCCATTATATATATATCGTAAAATAAAATTAGACCCTAGCTATAGGTATACACTCAAAACCGTATTATTTAAAAAAGATAGGTAATTGAAATTTTAAATACTCCATAAATGTTTCACTTTGCTTTTATGGTTATAAAGCTAACAAGAAACTTCGTTTTCAGTTATAACTAAAATAAACAATTTAATACTGGTCTACGTTAATTTATTTTAAACGCTGCTGCTTTCCTCGAAATCGCTTATACTTCTTCAGGAGCACGTAATACATTATGTATTTATTGCACTGCGCTTTAATGGTATGTGAACAATTAATTTAAAGCTACTGTATGTAAATAACACTAAGTTATAGTACTTATACTGAATAGGAGTTTCAAACTAAAAAAATTACTGACCAACATTATTTATTTTACTACTTAGTACCTAAAGGGTCTAATTAGGACCGATTTCAATGAAAATACAAATTTCGTGCAGGTATACCTCATAGGTATTAGTATAGTTATTAGTTAGCTATTATAATTTATATAAATTATTCTATCTTGAAAACCTCTCAAAATTTTTTTCTTAATTTCTTTCAAGCATAGTAAATTATCCAATTTCTTATTGTCTTAAGTTAATAAAGTTTCTCTTCACAAGATTGTTCGTCATAAATAATAATTCATCAAAAGTATACCATTTTTATTTCTTTCAGAACGTCAAATTATTAATTAAAAATAAAAAAAACACAACTTGATTAACTGCTTGATTGTTTCTCTGACATAATAATTAATAATAATATATGCGTGAGTTTTCAATGATACGGACGTGTAAAATAAAAAATCAGATTTCCACTCCACTTTCGGTGTATTTCCATGTGACGAATAATACACGAATCCGTGCAAGTGCGTGCGTTAGAAAATACAGTATAGTTGTTAGACAATTAAAAACGACGAAAAAAAAAATGTAAAAACAAAAATAATATGTTTATATATTATTATTACTATTATACAGTATACAGTGTATTATACTACTATATATTTATATACACTAAAACATTATATAGGTAGCGCCGTTGTGGTATTATATATTATATTTTATATTATTACAGCGAAACACGAATCGTCAAATCGAAACATGGCAGACGCGTGAGTCGTCGCACCCGCAGGGTTGTATCGTAAACCCATACTACAATGATACATATAGGCTATGATATAAATATAATAAACACACCGTAGGCGATCCACCTGAAAACTATGCATAATAGACATATATTTATGTGTAGTATACTCATGTGTGTGTGTGTATAGGTAAATGAGTTTAATTAAAATCGGACACACCGAACCGTTCGTTGACCACTGACCAGTGTGAACTATAATATATTATAGTCGGCACACGCGCACGCACACAAATAAACGCGAACCTGCCTATTTCTACGATACGGAGGGCTGCTTATTATTATTATTATTATTATTATTACTATTACTACTACTATTACTTCTATTACTATTACTATCGTTATCGTAGTTATCGATCCCCTGCTGGAGCTCGAAAACGCCGCAGTGGCACGCGAACCGCACGAAAGGTGGACGGAAGGATGCGATAAACCATATAATATATATAGTATACTAACGCAATACACACACACAAATGGGACGTATGTATCATATACATATAAGACTTACATGCGTTGGCGCAAGTAGAGCATCATTTCTTTCTATTGCGTGATAGTAGTGGTGGGGTGTAACCGGGATTTTATAATTTATTCGCGACGAGGACGGTCAGGGGAGGGGGAGTCCGGAGAAAAAAATCGGTCTGCACTAGACATGACCGCCGAGCCGTATAAAAGATGATGAAAAAAAAATGCCTGATAGAACGGAATATTATCTATATAGTCAGCCACACTCTCCACACGTAACTAAGCTCACTATATAGCTGTAGTTTTTGCCTTCCATCTATATTCTATAAGCGGCCGCGCATACATAGTATGCTTGTCGTAAATCCGATTATACGCTTAAGTTGTGCATTTATTCAATTTCTAATTTTGGTATTGCCGTGGATTTTTAAAGCCCGTGTGTTTTCAAAAACTCGGATATTTTGCGAATTTTACAATACGGGACAGTGGCGACACAAACTTTTCTTATCGAACAAGGAAAATATGATACCTCTAATTTTGTATGCAAACCGTTTACAGCAGATGCTTAATAGTTGGTAAAAAAAATAATGGAAATAATGCTTATTCGAAAAGTTTGTGTCACCACAGCATTTCTGTCTGCGTCCTAAGACGGTGTTTGAAAATACTATATAATCATAATAATCACGGACGCGCGTGTACTGAAAAAATGTCAAAAATCGTTATATTTAAATAAGACCCGTGATTCGAACAATAAGCCGGAACCTTTCGGTTGTCTTGAGTTTCGCAAATTATTCGCGGCGCTGCACCTCACAGTATACGTATATTATGTGGAAAAAAAATGTAGACATGGGTAGGTTACACGACTTGACGACCTAACCCGACGACGCATATCGCTCTGTTGGTCGATAGCAGCGTTTGCGGTCGACCGAACCTTTGAATTATGACCAATATATATATATATGTATATGGTTAGGACGAAACCGAAACAAAAATGTAGTACGTGTTTTCGTGGACGGACGTCTGACCGGAGCCGCACGCGGTTGTTTGTGTGTGAACCCGCAGGTGATAGCTGTGATATCGATACTGTTCATCATTATGTCGACGGTGGCGCTGACGCTCAACACGATACCGTCGCTGCAAGTGGAGACGACGAAGGGGGTGATCCAGGACAACCCGGTGTTCGCCATGGTGGAGCTGGTGTGCATCACGTGGTTCACCCTCGAGTACCTGCTCCGGTTCAGCGCGTCGCCCAACAAGTGGAAGTTCTTCAAGGGCGGCCTGAACGTGATCGACCTGCTGGCCATACTGCCGTACTTCGTGTCGCTGATACTGGTGGCCGAGACGGACAAGACGGACACGCACCAGTTCGACGACGTGCGCCGCGTCATACAGATATTCCGAATCATGCGCATACTCCGCATACTCAAGCTGGCCCGGCACTCCACCGGCCTGCAGAGCCTCGGGTTCACGTTGCGCAACTCGTACAAGGAGCTGGGCCTGCTCATGCTGTTTCTGGCCATGGGCGTGCTGATATTCTCCAGCCTGGCGTACTTCGCCGAGAAGGAGGAGCCGGGAACCAAGTTTCTGTCCATACCCGAGACGTTCTGGTGGGCCGGCATCACCATGACCACCGTTGGCTACGGCGACATATACCCGACCACGGCCCTGGGAAAGGTCATCGGCGGCGTCTGTTGTATCTGCGGCGTGCTGGTCATTGCGCTGCCCATTCCAATTATCGTCAATAATTTTGCCGAGTTCTATAAAAACCAGATGCGACGAGAGAAGGCGCTCAAGCGGCGAGAAGCGTTGGAGCGCGCCAAGCGCGAGGGAAGCATCGTGTCCTTCCACCACGTCAACCTCCGAGACGCGTTCGCCAAGAGCATGGACCTGATCGACGTGATTGTCGACAACGGTAAGTCGACGCCGCTGCTACATTCCGCCGCCAATCCTTAGCGTCACTCCTTGTGTGTCGGTTGTGTGCCTACGTGTGGAGGGATGATTTTTCTTCGTCCACAATCGTTCAACGATGTCCCTTATATTTCCATACATCTCTAGATCGCGCTGCATGCTTAACGCAAGCGTTGTCAAAAAAAAAACTTTTGAGTTCAGTCGAGGGAGTGGTGTATAGTCGCACTAATCTAATGTTTTTCGCTCCATTACTCCGAACAGTTCGTTCAAATAATAATCGACTGTTGGTAGCAAAGTCAGATGATGATGTTTATAGATACGTACTCCTATTATACATGGTAGATATTTCATATTTTGCTGAAATTCTGATGTACACAGTTATTTATAGTTTAATTGAAAAAGGTAAAGTTCTAATTAACAACCATTGCTGAACACAAAATTAACAGTAAATAGTATTCCATGAGACTTGTCATATTATTTCAGTATGTTAAAATGTTTATCCTACGTCAAAACTCAGGAAAACAGGCTCTCAGTACGAAGAAAAATCACTCCTATACATAAATATGTGTGTAGGTTATGTACAAGATCATTCAAATTTTGAGTTGCAAAACCTGTTTCATGAGATTCTTGAAACCCAAAATTTTAATAATCCTGTATATTATGGTAATATAATACCAGTAGACTGTAGTATGTATTTGTAAGTTCATAGTACCTTTTTCCACAGTCATTACACCATGCCCAAGCGGGAATGTTTGCATCAGAGGACACTGACTTATACAGTATCACACATCATGGAGTTTACACACTCATTGTCCACCTATTTGCCCCTTACTAGGTACAAAGGTACATACTAATTTTTTTTCCACCAAACCTTACTAAAATAATATATCAAATAAAGAACGTATAAAATAATTTAATATTATTATTATTTAATAACATATTTAATTAAATAAACTTTTTTTATTGTTATAAATTAATTCTAGATTATATTTACACAAGTTTTCTTACTTCTCTAGTAAAAGGTATATATTCTACGATACGATCTCATGAATTTATAAATAATTAATAAGGAGTTACGTCTGCAAAGGATTTCGATGCCTCAATTTCCAATTCAACAACCACTGCTAAATCTGTAGCTTAATAATTCTGTTTTGAAGTATCGATAATTATAATACTGGAGTGTTCGATAGAAAAGTTTAAGGACTCGATATCTGCTTCCGTACACTATTATTTCATAGTACGATTCTTGAAACGGTGTATGCATATTATATAAGGTGATATTATTTTTTGCAAAATCTAAATTTAAATTATCATACTGAGAAGCTATTTAATTTAAAAAATACTTTAACTTTTGTTAGATTACAATGATCAAATATACTACAATCTTTTGCTGGCGAATTTGTACACCCTTTTTGTAATCCAAAATTATGATAAATCGTGGTTTTTCTCATTTTGAAGCTGTTATCAAGGTCCATACGTTTTTAGTTTTAAAAAAAGGTTATTTAATAATTTTTGTTCTTTACTTGAAATATTATTTGAGTGAAAATTTATGAAAAAAAAAATTTGGTGTGCACACGGTAAATATTTTTGCGTGAGTGGCAATTAGGTGGACAATGAGCGTATAATCTCCGTGATGTGTGATACGGTAAATCAGTATCTTCTGACCAGGAACATTCCCGCTTGGGCATGGTGTAATCACCGTAGGAAAACGTTCTGCGAACATACATATACATACTACTATTATACCTGTATAATGTATAATATGTCACAAAGTCTTGCTATCCCTATCCCGTGATCTTCGTGTTATACTACAGCTGGTACACCATATCTATTCATCGTGTTCTATTATCATTCATAATATTTTATACATGCACGGCCTTCTTGCGTCCTTCTTGCGTACTTTTTATGTACCAGCTACTAAATACGCACTATTCAATGTTGTGTAATCTATTATAGGTAGTTATATTATAATTTATATTATATTCGCCATCGCCGAGACCGTTTCTAACATATTATGGGAATGCGCAGCAAACTCATAATGTTGATCTATTGCAATTTTATAATGATAATAATATGTATGTGAAACACGTGTAAATAACTCTAGTTGATTTTCAGAGAGCGACATTCCGAAGCTGTCCAAGCAGAACTCGCTAAGATCACACGGTAAGTTCATTTCGCTTTTGTACATAGGTAAGTTATGTATTTTATAGTTGACTTCGTGGCATGCATCCGATGTGACGATTTCATTACATTCGTTTACTTTTCATATACGTGTGTCTATTGCGTCGAACAAAATTTTCAAAATTCAAACCACAAGAAACGTCTATAGATATTTTTCGACGTTTTAGTTAGGTAGATGATGAACTAATAGTCTCAGTTGGCCAGCCGAGGAATATGCACATATATATTAGATAGGTAGGTAACAATGTTTCGATTATGCATGAACGTCATAATTTATTTTTATGTACATCATAGAAAGATATAAACGGTGCAAATGCATAATATAGCCAGATTACGTATTACATATAAATTTAAAATTAGGTATAGGTGAACAGGTCCTATATAAAATAAAAGAACCACGTTTTTGAGATTTCCGAGGAAAATAAATGTATAATATCAAAAAAAAATCAATACAATTGATGGCACAGTAGCATTTTTAACAAAATCTACTGTGTACTGTTAGGGAAAACAACAATTTAAGTCTTATAGTGACTCTAAATGTCAATTACAGTATTCATATACCATATTTGCCGTTTTCGAAAAAAATTGTAAAACTAAAAAGAATTTACACAGTGACCGCGTAGAACAAAATATTACCAGTAGATCAATAATCACGTTTACTTACGTACTGATCGAAACCATAGGTTTTCGTTTGTACTCTTGATACATTTTATTATTTCAAAGCCTGCACGAAAACCGTCACGATATGCAAATCATTAACGCTTGTGTTTCAAAGTTCACATTTCTCGATTTTTACGAAGTCAGTCTTAACGAGCTCGACGGCATAAAAAACTTATGTTTCGAACAAAAACACCCAGTCGGAACTTTCTTTCAAACTCAAATCGAAATTCGGTAGAATATACAAGTACCCTGCAGGGTGGCGTGGAGAGGAAGAAAAATACGTATATTAAAAATATATTAAAGTTTGGCCAGCTATTTATCGTCATAAACCCACCACGTCCTTTACTACCTGGATAAAAAAAACGTTTATAATATTATATTATGTTACACTTATAGTCCCTAAAACACTACTAGACAAGAACGGTGTAACGACGAAAAATTATAGTGATGTAGCCTTTCTTGAAGACAAAATACAATAATCTATATGTATAACATCTTACCCAACCACCCCTCACTACCATACATTTTGAGTAAACGAGGGAACAAAAAGCGCTCCATGTTGTTACGCTTTCTATACACTCATTGCTAGTTTAGAAGTATAAGATCTATGGTTCAGGGCTTGAAACTGATTTTTTACGCCAGCTTCTATTTTGTGTAAAACGGGTTCCCAAGCAAGGACTTTAAATTATAATTTAATAGCTTATTTAAATAGGTGATTAATAAGATTTTTGAAATTTTTATAAAAATATGAGAATTGTTTTACTAGGAGTGATTTTGTAGTTGAATTACTACAAATTACAAGCTTTAAGGAACCTAGAACAAAAATATTTCAACAGTTAAGAATTTAAATAATTTAATTATAATTAAGGTTTCCAATTTTTTGTAATTTCGGTTTTGAATTGAATACAGATTTCCAATTTTTTTCCTGTTTCGTTTTTGACTTTGTTTCCGATTTCGGTTTTTTACGATTTATACCGGTTTCTGAAAATAGTTTTGACACCGGTTTCAAGCCCTGCTATGGTTACACGATATCGCCCGACACTAGTGTGTACCAGTGAAATTCATCGTTTTGACGAAAAACTTAACATGAGTGTGTGTGTCCGAACAGTTGGCAGCAATTATTCGCAATACGACGGTACGAGCAGCGGCAGCGAGACGGTCCCGTTGAACCCGACACCAGCGCGTGGTGCCGCGAACGTCAAACCGGAACACCAGACGCTGTTGGACATCGACAATCCGGAACAAAACGCCAATTCTTTTGGGAAACCGTTCGAGAGCTCGGTAAGTACGGGTGGCCGATCGTATGCCACTGCAGGTGCGTTCCTGCGGCAGTATACCCAGTCCCCACTCGAAATTAAATTTTTGATTTTTCGCGGTACATCAATGTTATAATACTATGTAACGAAATATTACAGAGCGTATGATCATTGGACATTTTTTACTTAAGTTCATTATTCATGTTAGGTACTGTAAAATATTGTATTTAATACTTTTGAAAAACGGTGTACTAAAGAGTTCCGTGAGTACTCAAATTTCATACTTCACCATACAATACGATATCACTGAAAATAATTACCCTTTCCACGAAACGGTCAATTAAAATTTAAAACATTAGATACGATTGAAAACTTTTCGGCGCTTCTGTGAAAATTCTTTCTAAGCGTCCGAATTGACTCACTATTTGGGACAATATTATAGTGTGGGCAAGTTTGATAAATAAAATTCCGACTCCCCACTCGCACTATTTGAGTATCATTTCCTGTGATTTTACGATACAAATCGATTAATAATGTATATTTCAGTACCCACCCACATTTAATAAAATAATAGGTACTGTCGTACTGATATTTGAAACCACAATTATATTGCAACTTTCGGTGTGGTCGGATTTAAGAATTTCAATAGCACCACTGTTCAAACTTTACGAGTACCTATCGTGGTATCTACTTGAACACACTCAATAATTTTTAAGTAAGACGATTAAAATTTAAGGAAAATATAAAATGACTGACACTTAACTCGGGAGATTATGTGGTTGACTGCAGTCTGTAATCTGTTTAATTGAAACTCGATTATTTTTTTTTTCACTCGAACTTCCTTAGGTATACTCATTACTCACCCACCACGTTAGGTCATTTATATTCTTATACCTAACTTACAAGTTAATGATTGCAATTCGATCAATCAGACTCAATATTTCAATAACTTACACACATTATGTTTTATTTCATTAACCACGAGAATTTCTTTAAAACGTCACCTATAAAGTAATTTCTTAAGCATATATTTCAATAAACTCGTAAAATGAAACCCAACTTTCCAAATTAAATGATTTTGTATGACTTTATATGATTTTTAAGTAGATTCTAGGCATATATTTTTTTTTATCACATTTTGAAACGCCTTTTATTTGTTTTGGTCAAATTTATATTTTTAGTTTTCCAAACTACGTTTATTTAAGATATAATAATAAAAATACAAGAAAATAATCAACGAGTTTGTGAATATTTTCAACCAACCCAGACCGAAACGGCTTTGACCCGAATCATTAGCTCAAACGTCAATCTTCCCGAAGTTGAACACAAAATTATTGTAATTTATAACTATACAAGAAATCAAAGATGATGATTTGAGTATTTGATGGATAAATTATTACATTTAAATTTTCTAAAATTAATTACAATCATAATTTTTTTGTTAAAATGAAACTTAAATAATTTTAGTATAAGTTAAATTAAATAAATACCTAATAAAGTAAAAAATAAGCTTAATTAATTATAAACTATAATTAAATCTAGTATTCTGTATTCTAGTATAACTACAGACCAATCAGAAATGCAGAATACTTAATAATTACTATAATATTATGAACGATTGGGAATGAGAATATTGTTATGATACATATTTTTAGACAACTTTTTAATCATAATATGAGACAATCCAGTATTTTTTGTTCTGATTAAAAGCCGAGGTAATCGATATTCGATATAAAATGTTCACCAAATAAAATTGTTTTCTGTATTTTCACAAGTTTAGTAATTGGTTAAAAATAAATAATATTTAACAAATTATCTAAAACGAACTAAAAAGAAAATAATTTTATTCCACTTCATCACTTGAAGTTTCACGATACAAAATAACAGATAAGCCAACTTGCATGTTTTCAATATACCTATTAAAAAAGAACATAAACACGAAACATGAATTAAGCTCGTTCATTTATAAAGTGCTTATTTTGGGAAATAAATTCAATAGGTTATTTTATACTTGTCGAGGAAATACTTACACTGATCAACAGATTGAAGTTCTTGAAAAATCTAAGCTATTGAAATATTTAATTATAATAATAAGTGAGAATAACATTATGAAATAACCTAAAAATATTTGTTAATTTTAATTTTGTAACCGATCTTTTATGGAATTTTGTTTTTAAAAATATTATTTTATTTTCTATTAACATTAGTATAACATTAGTATAACACATGATCATGATGAACACAAATATCAATGAAAACAATTCATGAACTGATGTAATTTATTACTTAGAAATAATATAAAGATTTCATTGCAATTTAAATTGTTAAAATACTAATTGAATTTATACATAAAACATTAAAAATAATACAATTATTATATAGCACTCGAGTGATCAAAATACATGCAAATTGCGTGTTGTTAAAATTCACTGTACGTCTGTACCTATACATTATTATTAATGTATTCATACATAAATGCATGAATAGGGATAGAAAATTTCACTCAAAGAGAATAATTGCTCAAATGATAAACATTACAAAAAGTAAATCTACTTATACCTATTTATAAAAATGATTGAAACTCGAAGATTGTATACTTATTATTATTATTATTATTATTATTATTAGTATTATTATTATCATCATTTTAGCAATAAATAGGATCGAGTTCTTTGATAGATTATTACACAAAAAAGACTAAAGGGGGTACAAACGAAAAGACTCACCAAAAAATCCATTTAAATGTGACCTGTGATTTGTTTTGACTCTGTTTGGTATTTAATTCTGTGTTCCCTTATGAATGATAATCGCTATGTGTGCCTACTTATATGAATGTAATCCTAGGCTTGGATTTGCTCATTAAAACCATGTGATTATAATTTTTAACCTTTTGAAGGCATATTACAAAATGATGTCAATACCATCCTGAATGAACAAAGAAACAACCATTTTACGCTTGCTGCAGATTTATTTGGTTTTTGTTTGGTTTTTTGCGTGACGTTTTTTTTTTTTATGAATGTTTGTTTTGTTTTGTTTTGTTTTTCTTTTAGGGGAATATGTCCGCGAGTTGTTTTATCGAAAAATTTGACGAAAATTTCAATGAGTTCGAATGTTGCTCTTGTAGACAAAAGGTACAGGAACTTGATTTTAGTGACTAATTTTATTTCTAATATCAAAAGTCTAACCAAAAGTAGACTTCATACATTATACATTTCTTATATAGTTGCAAGTAGAATTAAAAAAAAAACTATCTTTAGATTTGATTTCATATACTTATGTATCGACTAGACACTAGATATAATATGTATGTGTTATAGCTTTATATAAATAAATACAATTTCATATTTTTTGAGTTGCAATGTATGCATATAATATAATATAGTAAATAATGTTGAAAAATGTCTTAAAAAATATCATGCTTTTATACTTTTTAGTAATTTTTTAACCAATATTTATCGAAAAATTGATTTTTTTGATTACAATTTTATTATTATATTGTATATATATTCCAATACAAAATAAATAAATTTTGTCTTTTTCAATTTCATTTTTCATTTTAATAAAATATCGAATGATAATAACTAGTAATTATGAGTATTAATTTATTTATGTTTTAATATTATAGTATTATATTATCTATTATTTTACAGTTATTAACCGCTGTACTCTGTTGTGTATCATAGATTATAGATGCTATAGTTGTGCGATGACGATGATTTACATTCTATAGTGATGGATACAATGTAAATCACGGACTTAGATAAAAATATAATCTGACACATTTGCGTGAGAGAGGGATTTAAATTTAATTGCACAATATCATATTGTAGTCTCGTGGATCAAACTAATTAAAAACATCACCATTTTCTAAATACGTAATTTGTAAATAACACGACTGTTATATACGTTAAATATGTTTCTTTCAATTTATTATCGCAGTGATAAATCATATATTATTATATATAAATGATTGTAATGTTATAACATTGTACCACAATATGATATTACATCAAAGTCCGTGTCTTGAGAGAAATGAATAGTTTTGGCTTGAAACATTTCGTATTTGGGTAACGGCGTATGTAATGGATTATCCACTATTTCCGTCTTTGTCTTCGACGAAAACTTTGAACCTCGCACCGAACACTCGATATCTATTGACCACGTTTCCGTTAACCCTGTGTATATCAACAACAACACAAAATATCACTCTCAAATAATAATCGTATAACATTTTTTTGCTATTGATTCGACCAAACCGTATATACAGTGTACGTTTGCACATACCTTGTTTGGGGCATACCGGTACCGACTAGAACTGTTCTGTCCTTGCAACACGGTTGTAAGCTCTGCAACACTTTTCGCGTACCCATCCTGTCGACCTAGATTAACATTTGTGTTATAATACATGCGATATGTGATAATAATCATATTGTCCATGAACTGCGATGGATAATAATACTAAAATGGTGTACGGGTCATTATGTAAAATTACGTTTTGGACGAGATTCCTGTTTTCGTCGTTTTGATCCATTTTAGTTTTTTCGAAGATGACAAAAAAAAAATGACGCCTGCACGATAAATAAAGTGAAATACCTAAATGTATAGTTACAAATAAAACACGTTTACTAATAAAAATATTATATTCATTTTGTACATGGAGTTTGTGGTTATCAAGAGTTCTGTACAATATATTCCAGTTCGCCTGCAACGTTGAGCATTATTTTAAATGATGACACAACGACATAGAGTATAATATAGATAATAAAATATTATAATTTCATGACTGCAGTCTGATTTCATGACAATATGATATTGTCTCAAGAAAAATAGTATTTTAAAAACTCTATTATTAATTTGTTCTATACAAATTAGACTGTGCCAGTCCCAATAAAATACGTAGGTACCTACTATATATCCATGCACGTTGAAATAACGAATTCGGTGATGGCACCCATCACGCAACTCATCACTGCCGCAACCACTGGCTGTAGAAAAATGTTATTATAATCCAATAAAAATACTTTTATAGATCAATAAAGTTTCGAAACAAATAGAGGTTCAAATTTGAATACGACACCGGCTTATTATATATGTAACGAGAATATTAACTGCAATAGTAGAGAAAAAATTCAATTTGAAAAATTCCAGCTCTATTAATTCTTGCGTTTCATTAAATTGTACATACGGTTGGGTTAGTAGGTACACAATAAAAAGCTCCTAGGACTATTCTAGTAATATTGTTTTAATTTTTTTTTCAACCCGAATCGAGTGACACAGTTCGACCTTCAACCCTTGCGATGACATGTTCGGATTCATAAATAATAGTAACATACTCGTGTGTTTTAGGTTATACATCAATTTCAGTACCTATATTATTAACATGTAAGGTTTTACTATATTCAAAATTGAATATGTATAATATGTGTATACCTACTTACCTTTTAAGAATAGGTATTTGCAATATTCTCTTTTTCTACCGGACATTTTCGACGAACGTCATAATATTATTATATGTATCTAACTACTGTTTTTTTTAAATCCTAAAGATTTTTTCCCAGTAGTAAGCTCTTATTAACCTTTCAAGAGCTTTCAAAATTATTTGTGGTCTTCTATACGTCCATTGAATATCAATTATTTCAAACGATATATTACACGCAAATTATAATGCACTGAAATAATCAATATGTTATACATTCCCGTAATATTCGTAGGTAAGTACAGCACGGACCACACGGCACTCTTTTCAGTAAGTACTAACCATCACAAATCTTGTCATCGTCCGTGAATAATTAACGGAACTAAATCGATAAGTCTGCAACGCATGATGCCACCGTGGTAGCTTATACGGGTGCAATGACTCCATGTTTTTTCGAGTTTTTTCGGTGAACCTAGGCGCCAAGGCAGAGCGCTCTTCGTTAATCGTTTATTCAATTAAAAATAAACTCTAGTGGCACCGAACGCGTCTTATGAGTTATGATTAATCCATATATGTAATTCAATTTAACATATTACTTATATATTATCTGAAACAATTTGCTGTTTATTAATATATGAGTCATATCGATGGCGTGTCTATAAATATTATATTGGTACTGCACAAAAGTCACATGACTCATAAATTACCTCAAACATGTTCGACTCGAATAATTTGGTATATTTGATAATATGTACCTATACATAAATATTTATATTGTTACACACCCTAACTGCTAACGAAAAGCGAAAACCCGATCGAATTATGTCCCAAACTTTAATGTAATATTATTATATATGCATTTATAAATGTATTAGGTTGTAGGTACATACTACGCCTCCAAATTGTTTTTTAAAAATTAATTAAAATTGCACTTATCGTTACCATTTTCAGTTTAACCTTCTATATGTTGTTAATTTTATTCTTTTAAATGCTAAAATTCTCAATACGAAAATTATACTTTGGGTCTATACGTATAAAGCATATTATATTTTAATTCGATCACCTATCACTTATTATTTGATCAAATTATCGTAGAGCTAAGTGAACTGTAACCATTTGTGACGTTAATGGTCGTTTAGAATAACTTAATCAATAAAAAGTCCATAGGTAATAAATTATACATTTTTATAGCACGAACGACTATTTTCATGATTAGTTATATAATAGAATAATAGACTTGCATGATTTATTGTTATTTGTTTTTATTTTTTTTTCTAGAAATCTTTGTTGTATCGATTTGATTCTAACTATATTATTATTTACTATTTTTGATGAGCAGGTAATTATAAAAATGCTGTATACATTAAAAAATCATTTTTTCACGTATATATAGAAATAAGTTTCAACAAATATTTCATATTTTTCCCTGCAATTATAATAATATTATGTATGTTGTGAAAGTTCGAAGTCGAATAATATGAATTCATACAAAATCATATTTTACCAAAACGCCTGAATAAATAAAAATGTAGTTATTACGCACTGATAAATCGGGAACGAACGAACGAGCGAGTACTTAATACTTTTGCTGATGTATTTCCGTAGGCCATTAGCTGCTAGAGAATATTTCAACGTTTTATTTATTTTTCAATCGATATCATTATTTTTTTAGAAGTGATTTTTAACGGTGCCGTTTAAAACACTGAAATAGTACTTAAACTGTCGTATAATAGAAAATGTATGTACATTATATTACAAACACGACTATGTACACTGTAATAATATTACCCGTCATACGAGCGATTTAGTGACGTTTTGTCACGTCGTATATATACAGTCATAATAGTATAATATCTTATTTATGCCATTTATGGACTACACTATAATATATAATATATTATAATAAAATAGCGCCGGTGCGTATTACCTATCTATATACCTAGCCAACTATATACGTATAGTAACTATATTGATCATCCACTCGATCGAATTTCGGGCGCCGACTTTTTCTGATTTTGTATTTGTTTTTTGTCTGTTTCCGTCGACACGACGCGCGTGCGCGTCCGTGCATGTGTTTCCGTATTCGTGGTGCGGTCCTGCAGGAGGTCAAGGAGTACTTGGACGCGGAACACCTGACGCCGTACCCGACCAGCGACCTGCGGACGCCACTCAGCGTGGAGATGAGAACGCTCAAGGAGGCCGACGGGTCGTCGTCCGGCGGCGGCCAGTGGCGTTCGCGCAACGAGGTGGGCAGCGTCGACAGTTCGGACACGTACATCAGCTGCAAGTCGCAACCGTTCCATTCGCAGGGCGACCTGACTGCAGCCGACGACCTGCACGACACCGTTTTCGAGCCGGCAGGTGGTCACGTCCCGGCCAGTGGCCCCGCCACCACCGGTAAGGGCAGCGGCGTCAACGACTCGTCCAACCTGTACGTAAACCCCCTGGAGAGCGCCGGTGGCAAAGGGGGCGGCAAAGGGGGCCCGCCCCGGAGCTTGGGCACGTCGCCGATGGACGAGTGCAAAGAGTTCTCGGGCCGCACTGCGGCGGTCGGCAGTCGCGGGAGCCTCAACGAAACGGCCAAACAGCGGAAGACGAGATTTTCGCAAGTAAGTCCCTATAGTATTGTACGGCCAGTAATAATTTATTGCAATAGCCTGTATAGGGGGTCAGCGGGGAAGATGAGTTTAGTTTTGACGAACGGTGAAAAATTATTGGCATTTTCCTAGACTTTTCGAATCGGTTAATGAAGTAGTCGACACTGTCCCACGCACCATTTGAATGTTCCGTCTGTTTTCCAGAAAAAAATTAATATGTAAATCATATATCAATGAGTATTGCAGCCATTTTCAGGTGGGGTGTTTAAAAATGTTTGCCAGGCAGAGTGATGTCTTGTCTAAATCCTGTCCGGGGGTACCAGAAAACCTCGTTAGTTAAATAACTTAAATATAGCTGCAAATTCGAGAACTAAATCACAAACCCATGTTATAATAATGACACAATTATTTTGGGAATAAACTAATAAATATTATAATTTATAAATATATATATTATGATATAACACGTTAAACCAATAGATCTATCGCTCTCACATTATTATAAACTTTATTATTACCGATTGTGTACAATATACATGTATTACCTACTTTAATAATATAGGTAGTATTATTTACAGTACATAAAAATTTCCGCAGCATGGAACCAGTGTAGTTATCACCTGCGAGTGTTCTTATCGAAGACGATTAAACTCTTCACTCGACTGTTAGAGATCCAAATAAACTCTAAACAGCAACATTTCCCACGCCCACAACCCCAAGTCGTAATCATAATATTCACATTTCTATTTTATGCACTCACACTATCTCCGCTGAAGTTTAGGTACAGACAATGTCGTACCCTCATTTGCATTTTTAACAACTCGATCCCTAATATATTGGGTACACCTAAACTCTTATTCAACCGATGCATAAGCAATCAAATGTAAATAATAATAGAGAAATTAGGAAATACATTGTACTCAGGTACCAAACGACCACAATATATTAATTATATGTTCTGCAGTGTTTTATCAGTTCGAACGAACCGTGGAGAAAACATTTTAATGCAATAATTTTTCTCTATAAATATAATGCGTCTCAATAATCGATATCATTATTTTACCACCGAGAAAATCTAATGGCATTAATTAAATTTCAGTATTAGTAGTAATTACGTTAATTTATCACCGCCAGTACCATTTCCTCCGCTGGAGCAAGCAGTTAAATTTATTATTATTATTGATATATATTAAATAATATATACATATTCATATATTAAAAGCAATAATTTTCGTTTTGGAAATTGTAGTCTCATATAATATATAGTACAGACTATAAACTATAAGCTTTGTGACGTTTAAAAATGACCCAATCCCAATATGCTATATCTATTATATGATTATATACTATGACGGTTCGATTATTTAGCTGCAACGCCAGTATTTTGTGCATATTATCGTTCCAGTTTACGTATACACAAACATTGAATTTAACTTCGTATTATCAAAATTGTATATTATAATACATGTAAAATTGAATTTGTTTATTTTATTTTAAATATTGAAATAATATTTATATTTAATAAATTATAAATGTAGACTCTTAATAGTAGTGGTAATTTTGTATCGATGGCGATTTAATTTTGTTCTCCCCATAGTTGACATTAACACAAATAATAACTATAATAACCTAACCTAAGCTTAAAAATAAGGAATTTTGTTGAAAGATAATATAATGATATGTGTGGTCTTATTTTACCATTGTTGAAGCAATCAAACATAGGAGAAAGTTTATTTGGCCGATCGTCCCAGGAAAGTTTGGATGGCGGCGCACGAAAACGACGGCCTTCGTTCGGGTTGTCGTCCAAAACATTGACTAATGCTACAAGAATAATCAATCAACATTTGTTCGGGTTACCGCTAATATCTAATAAAACAGGTACTATATTATGGAAAGAAAGTTTCCGTTTTTGGTTGTATATAAATTAAATAACGTACGTATTGTATATTTTACATGTACACATAATATTATGTTTATTTCAATCAAATAACTCTATGTAGGTAGGTTCATATAATTATTCAATAATATGACCATTTAACACCATTATTTTAGAAAACCATTGTTTCTTTTTTAAAAAATCAAATAAAATGATTTCTTCCTTTAATATTATCTTTAAGTAAGAAGTTCAATATTATTTAATTGCATCAAACAATTTAAACATTTTAAACAAAGATATTATTATGGTTTGTATAACGGGTTTATATCTAAAAAAGATAAAAGAGCTGACTTACTATAATATGATAGTACTTACTTAATTTAATATTTCAAAATATTAAAAGTTCAAATACTCAATAAAATGTTTGTATTTTTAATGAAAAAAATATATTTAGAGTATATCAGTCATTAATAGATACAAACAATAAACAGCAAGCAATTATTATCTATGTATTATATTCCTTCTGCGAAGATAATAACGGTCAATGCGACTCAGCTAATGTCTATAATTTATAGTATAATAGATAAATAATGATCTGTACCCGAAACTTTGATACAGTGAAATACGCATTAGAAGTTAAACAAGTTAACATAGACACCAAAATGTATTAAGCAGCAGCCAACAATTACTAAAATACTTAGACGCCGGTAATTAATAATTATCAAGGTATAATCTTCGTCGATGCCTACCTCTCTTTATTGTAAATTTTATTAACTCAATAATTTACATATTAAAATTTAAAATGTATCAAACGTCGAAACTAAATCTTAATATATACGGGTGACCCTAACGACTGACCTCATCGAAAATCCAATTTGGCAACTCGTACCGTGCGGCCTTTGTGCTTCACCTTTATCAACAAGCTCGAGTACAACACTAAAAAAATATGTTCTCTCGACAATGACAAAATGACGACTTTAATGGTTTACAGTTCACAGTGTATATACACATATTATATAAATATATATTTATAGACCATATACCCATCATTAAGATACAGAAATTAAAATATAACCAAAATTAGTTTAAAAAATGGTAGGTTACCTATACATTTCTTCTCATTATTGTTTTGCATTATATTTCGTGATTTCCCCAAGAACCAATAGAAATAAAAATCACTAGTCCTCAGGAAATTGTGACTAAATGTATCTATCGGCTCTTGTATTAAATTGGTCGTTTTTATTGTTTTGGAAAAAAACACATTTTGGATAGATCATTAACGTATCTACCTCGTTCAGTTATTCTGATTATAATCTATAATAAAGGCATATCAAATATATAATACTTAGTTGACTTTGTTGAAGTCAAAATAACACCTAGTTGATCCTCTGGCCACAATTAAGTGTTGGCAATAATGCTGTATAAACAACCGCTTTTTTTAATTTGTTGACTATGCTTTTTTTTTTTAAATAATCCACAGGCCCTTAAGATTATCTAACAAAATTACGTCTTGGGCATGAGCTGATACTTGAATGCTCTGTAAGATGATAATTAACAAAACTGTCAAAATTAACAATCAACGAAATAATAAAAATTAAATTATACCAGACCCAATGCCGAGACTATTCTAATATTAGATACATTTAATCAAGACAATTTTGTAAAGTAAACGCTTTATTAAAATGTCATAAATTCATAACTATCGTCGCATCTTGCACCGTTATAAAGTAGACTGTTCTACGGGTAATCAAATTAAAATTAACCGTTTAACTATCCACGCGGCCGAATAAGTAACCATTTAAATGTTTTGAATGAAAAATATCTATAGACTTAAACATCTACATTACAAAATCCCCTGAGTATTAAAGTTTTTCTTCCAGGGATAAATTTCGTATAGTACGTTCTCTTGTTCTGACCGGCCTAACTTACATAATATTTTACTTACATTTTACATTTTTACACATAATATATAAATATATTAATATTACATTTTAGTACCACTACTCCAAGTTTTTAATTTTTAGATAAGTGGTTAGTGGTAACGTAAGTAGTAAATACCTACCTGCCGTTGTGAGTTGTGAGTTGTGACTGACGTAATACACGTCGTATACCTACCCTTTATGACTTTTAACTTATAATAGGATTAAATTACAGCTCTAAACATATGTAATGTGATAACAGCCATAAATATTGGCGTAGAAACTTCATAATGTTTGGACATTACGTTAACGACCGAAGGGGATGCTGAATTTAGGGTGAGTTTGAGGAATTTAGTCTTTATAATGTATATGTGATCACTATATAGATAATGTCTATCGAAGTAATAGAATATATTGTATTTTACTTATTAGTTATTTATACTACCTATCTACCTTATTATATTATACTATGTATGCTATCTATCTATCTATCTACATATATTAAATAAAAGTAATTTAAAACTGTATGTATAGACTATAGTGCGAGTATAATATTATTATATGATATACTGCAGTTTAATAAATATTACAAATCTAAACAAATAGTGGACGACTTACAAAAACTATATTATTGTTCTGTGATTCTTTTATTGTTAATGTTTGTTAAATAGTAAATACAAAATATTATCAAAACACTTACTGTTTTCATTGCTTGTTAAACTTTTTTACGTATATACGTTCGTAATAATAGAGTTAGACTGTATACCCTATCTGACCATGTCAATAGGTACTCGGTGATATACCAACCGTCATATTTTAATATTTGCTTAATAAAATTAACGAATTGTAAAGCAAATTTATATAGATTGTAGTCGATTTTTATATCATTGTACCTACCATAATTGGCTGTAAGAAAATGTAATTGTAACGATTTACTGATATTTTTTCGTTAATGTCGTTACGAATACATTTGGTAGGTATGAATGTACACAGTATATAGGTACATACTATGAATATAATTATGTATATTATATCATTGTGCCGGCGTACATAACGGGCATATATTAATTATAGATTTGTACGTAGGTATTAAATTTTAGTATTATATATTATATAGATAAGTAGGATCTTAAAATAATTGAGATCGTTATGGACGAGAGTGGTATCTTAGATATATCTATTTTTTTATTTTATCAATAGTTGTAATGCATCTTCTAGGATTCTCGATTTTAGACATTTATGAAACATTTAATTAACAACAGACGTATGAGTGCATTATTGGTGTATTTCGAATATTTATTTTTATGTGAGTGTCGTGCAGGTTCCAAACGTATAGCCTGCTCCAAACAGAGTCGTAAATATTTCCTCCCCGACCCCCTCTCCCTAGGTTAACCGACAAGATTACAACATATATTATACAAAAAATAATAAACACAAATAGTATAAGACCAACACATAGTAATATGTGAAAATTCCTCCCTAGGTAATTGCCCATTTTAGCTTCCTCCCTCCGCTATATATACGGCCTCAACTCAAACATAATAAAATATACGCCACTGCAACCATACGTCTTGTGTTTATCCTGTACATTGTACTCTAGTAACACTGTATACACATCATATAAATATAGCTATATGTGTACAACGATTTAAACTTTGCGTATAAGTCATCGAAATCTTTTAGTTTTGCCTGAACTACATGTAATTTATAACACAGCCATTCGTACCTATATATATGTACTCATATTGCGTGTATATAGGTTATGATGACGACACTTATTATACTCGGGTCGACGTTATCCAACAATAACGATACCTATAAAATAAAATATTATATTATTATTACGTACCTACCGTTACAATTTTACTGGTTTTTGCGCAGGGAAAAGCGGCAAGTCCTCGCCGTCGGTGTCGGCTGAATCGATAAACCGTTCGCCGGAACAGCATCGGAGGTCCAAGTCGATACTGAAACGGCACCAGAACCAAGGTTCGTCGCAGACGTCGCAGGACTCGCCGTCCGGTAACCACGCGAGGATAGGCATCCGGCGGACGGCACACGTGGACCCGGAAACGGAAAAGCTCATACCCGACAATCTGTCCGACTGTTCGCCGGGCAAGAGTCCGATGTCCCCGCAGCAGCAGCAGCAACCGCAGCAGCAGCAACCGCCGCTGCCACTGCCACTGCCACTTCCGCAGCAACAGCCGCGGCACAACAACAACCACCACCAGCAGCAGCAGCAGCAGCAGCAGCAACAGCAAAACCACCACCGCCACAACAACAACCACCACCACAACAACAACAACAACGGCGGCGGCGGCGGCGGCGGCGGCGGCAGGACTACCGGCGGAGGCAGTGGCGGCGGAGTCGGCAGGGCGCCGGTTGAAGTGGCGCTGCTGCAGGACCTGCTCGAAGACTCGGGCGGCCCGATATTCATATGTCCTCCACCGCCGCCCATGAACGACAACACCGACAAGAGGTACTCGTAGCCGCCACACTTGCGAGCTACCATATTATATGACGTATACATACCACATTACCGTAAATTATGATATTGTGTGTGAAATCGTACATTTTGACACCCTCGCAAGCGTAATTCGCAGACGCACGCGTAGAATATAATTTAAAAAATACCAAGACAATAGTAACAATATGATATATTATGTACACGACTCGCTCGCCGTTAGCTATATGTATATGATGTATATATTATATTATATATACTTACGCGGTATATTACTATGTATTACGTGTCATTGGTATCATACGGTGTATAATATAATAATATGGTGTATGACACCTGCGACTGTCGTCAAGTGTGCCGCCACTGCGGTGAAATCGCGAGCCTATATTATGTGTGTGCGCATCACGTACATCATTAACTATTGGCCGCCGTACGTACCTGCCTATGTGCACATTTTTTTATTAATTCGTCGACGCGCAGTCGTCCGCAACAACGCCGCCGCCCGTCCCGGCCCGGGCAACCGGTGGTCGCGCCTTCGAGTGGCGTGTTATTTTAACGATACCAACATTTTACGTACCGTAATATAATAATAGTATATATATATATATATATATATATACACATGCGACCGCGAGAACAACGCGTATATATATATATATATATCATCTATATATTATATTATGTAAATTTATATGATATATTAAAAATTACTATATTATGTGTAGATTTTTAACTATAACGCAACTCTCGTTTTTTTAAGAGATATTTTCAAATTTAAATCATAATATATATATACGTATATATATATATATATATATATATATGAGAAATGCTCATTTTATCATCATCATTAGATTGTAATAATTAATACTTAGTCTCGGAGTAAGTGAAGAAAACGAAATATAATCATTTACCGTAGTACGTAGATAATTGTAAAGGACGCTTCTTTTTAGGCTTCCTATCAGTCAACTGTTATTTAAATCATCGCCATCATCACCAACGCAATCATTATCGCATCATCATCGTCATCAAAATCATCGTCGTCGTCATTTATAATATGTTATGTACGTGGTGTACAATATTTCCGTGTCGAAACGATATTTTTGTTCCATACATCGGCATACGCATCGTCGTGTTAACCCGAGTTCAACCCGTTTAACGTTCAAAACGTACGTTGCCAAACTATAACAATCTATCAAAAAAATTACAACTATATATTATACAATGTTACTGTTTTGTTAAGGAAAAAAAATCAAAAAAAAAAAAAAAAAAAAAAAAAAAAAAAAAAACAAATTTCTTCGGGTCAATTTTCTCTCCTAAATTTCTTTATAATATATAATAATCAAAACGTTACCTACCTGTAATTTGATTTTTTTTTTTAATAATAAAAATTAAAGACTGGGAAGCAAATGATGAATTCATTATAACATTAACAGGAAATTAAGCATGCATTTTGCACTGGCCTTTTATAATTATATTTTAATTTAATTATATAAATATTATTAATTATTATACTTTATACCCACTTGGCACAAAAATACATTTTATCGCTACGCAAAATTAATTTTTAACGCGATCTCAATTTGATATACCGACGGTAGTAAATTTAAAATGTATAATGATATTTTGTGAAAGTATTTTAGGAAGAAAGCAATATTGTAGTTAAATATAATTGCGTAGTTGACCTAATCATGTAATTTTAATTGGATTTAAAAACGAAAACATTGTATACGTACCAAGCGATATAGGTACGCAAAAATTGTAATGTGCATTGAGCACAATTTTTTTATAGTTCGGTCGAAACGAGTAATTTATTAGTATAGAAGTACATAATATTAATATACGAACAAAATTATAGTTTCCGTTTTTTAATTCGCCTGTGATTTATCTTTTGTTAAGTTTATAAAATATGTGTATGTATATGTGCAACAATATACATAACAATGTTATTGAGCATTTTGTTTTTGGTCTATCATTTCCTTTTCCTTTTTTGTTATTATTTTAAGATGAATACTGGACAATCTAGAAAATGATTTTTGATCGAACAAAATGTGTGTCGTTTCCACTCCTTTATTGATTTAAAGTAAAATATAAATATCCAAAGAAGCCGGTTGAATTAAAAATGTTTGTAAAAAAGTTAATCTGTATACTAAAAAACCTAAATTACTCCATGATTTATTGTACAACATTTAACAAAGTCTCAAACTTGATCGAGTACTTGAAAGTACAGTACCTATATGGTATCTAGTAGCCAATGTCACTTACGTCTTTCACGAAATTTAGATAATTTGACTGATGTCATTAAAATTTGATTATGTAACTCATGTTACTTATGCAAAAACGCCCAGTGTCTCTGAAGCAGTATGAGCAAATTAGATTTGACATTGGCAACTTTGACAATAATTTATAGATTAGTATATAAGTTCATATTATGGCCTACGGGCCTATGTTGACATTAGCCATGTATTATCAATTTCAAAATCATCAATGGGAGAGCCGATGTCTAAATAAAATTTACACATTTGTAGTTAAAAACAAAATGTGGGCAATACAATAAAATAAAAACAAATTTGATTAAGCAACAACATTTTGAATCCCTACTTCAGATATAAAATTTTAAAAATTGGTCAATTTGTTTTTTTGAATTCCTGAACATCAATCAAAACCGAAAATACGACATAAACATGTCTTGCACCAAGCCACAGATATATATGTATATACAGAAACTAAAGAAGGATAAGGTCTTCACTTATTTGAATAGCTTTTTATTATTTCTCAAATTGCGTACCAATAACTTAAGTTCAAATTATGCAACCTATGACAGAAAATATTACATTCTTAAAAAATTATTGTTTAACCATTTTAGTATTCCTGAATTGTACTTAATATTCTACACTCTATTGCAAAAAAGATGACTTGCATTTGCTCACGATGGGTGTGGCTAACGAGCGGCACATCAGTTCGGTTTGGTGGGAGACGATCTAGTAGACTATGAACCGAACACAATTGGTTGTTAGCACACAAGTAATCTTATTTGGAACAGAATATATAAAATATATTATTAATAAAAATTATGATATTATTGTGTAATTTAAACTGTTTTAACTTTTAACCTCATTAATTGCAAAATGTTTAGTACTAACGCATTAAACATAATGAAGTCACATGTCATATTAATATAATGTATAATTGACAATAGTACCTACTTTTTTATTTCAGCTTATTTCAATAAATATTGATCTAAAATGAAAAATAAAATACAAGTCATGATTTATTACAAAAAATATATTTAAAAAGGAAAATTCACTTTAAAAATATCATATTTAATATTTATACGTAGACAAATATTATTGGAATGTAAAAAAAATATATTAATTTGATTTGTGCTAATATTATCAATACAAAAATAAGTTTTATAAAAAATGATCAAATACTCTCCGAACACTCACAAATTTATCACAGTTATGTAAACAACTAATAATCTAAATTAATTCTAATGGCCCTTATAAATTGGAATAATTCAAAACTAAATAAAAATCGAGTAAAAATAATTCTACAGGACGGAACAATTTTCAGTGATGTTTAAGTACACAAAAAAGGATAATAATATAATCTAAAATTGTAAAAATGTACAATATAAAAGTAGGAAAATGTAAATATTACGTTTCCATATAAAAAATAAATATTTTATGCTCCAAATATTCAAATATTAAAGGCAATTTAGAAATTAAAAAATTATACAACATTTTCGCCTTGTCTTCAATGGATCGCCAACGATCACATCCTCAGTATCACCAGCAAATCTATTAAATGCAGCACCAGAATCAGATGGCATATCGGCACTATTAGAAAGAAGACCAGCTGCTGCACGAGTTTGTGCTCGTTGTTTCTTCAACTCGGCCAAAGTACCCGCATTGATAGTTACCGAAACATGTATATTTATTTTACCATCACTTTCAGTGGTATAGCAGGTTTCAGCAGCAGGGCCAACATCAACAGATTCCAACTGTGACTTTTCTTCAGTAACGTCTTCACCTTCAGGCTCACAACGTTCTGTAGTAGGAATGGTTGAAGGAACAGTAATAGGTACTGGAACAAATGAATCTATTGATGAATCTCCTTCAAAGTCACTAGTGGTACGCTCATTAGCCAAAAACTTTTTTGCAAACTATAATAATAATAAAAATAAAAAACAAATTAATTTTTATTGAACTCAGATGTGAGAAAATCACACCAACATATGCTGTCTCAATTTTTCATTATTACTAACATAACAAAATTACAATTAACAGTTTCTTTTAGCTTCGTCAGTTTTAAGTGATGTCACCTATTAATTAAAGTACCAACATTTTCCATGGTTTGTTGAAGTTGTTTTATTGATATTTTAATTTTTAAGCTATTTTAAGTGTGTAAAATATTACCATTTAAAAATGCTGATAACTTGTTTTTAAATTAAAATATCAGAAATAAAAAAAACCTCTAACAAACCACAAAAAATACTTTTAACGTTAATTTTAATAATAAGTCAACTCACCATACTATTAAAAGTAAGTACTAACAAACCTAAGTGGGAACTGCCAAGTATAAATTGTATTATGTTACCTTTTATATGACTGAGACAACACATGCGGGTGAGACACATTCTCTAAACACAATATAAAATGTTGCTATTAAGTTTTAGCAGGTTATTTTACTTACATTCTGAGCTTCAACTCTTAACCTAGCTTCTTCTACTGCATCCTTTTTAGATGTCAACGTTTTTTCTCTAATAGATGTCCTTCGAACAGATTGAGCTCTTGTGTTATTTGATTGCGTACGCCGTACTCTTCTTCTCTGAGCTTCTTTTTTAGTCTCTTGTTCATTACGTAATTGTAATATACGATCTCGTAAATCTGGATCTTCGCAGATGTCTGCAGGCGTTTCATCATTTTTTGTCTTAGCATTCAAATCAGCACCATTTTGAACCAATATCTCCAACACTTCCAACTAATCACAAATGTAAAGTATAATATTTATCATAAACAAATTTACTAATTTAATTTACATAAGAACTGTTCAGTATTCTATCTTAAGGATTTGTTGTAAGAAGGTTTTACCAAACCATATGCATTATTACAAAAAATAATGGCTCTTCCTTAGTTATGGAAAAAATGCCCAGTGGTCAAATCAATAGTTAAATATTATAACCCAAACACTAAATTTGTACAATGTATAAAACTATACTTACATGACCCCAACAAGCAGCTGCATGAACAGGTTGCCATTCATCAGAATCTCTAACATCAGTTGCAACATGGTTGTCTAATAAGTATTCTACTACTTTTAAATAACCATTGGATGCAGCAATATGTAACTAAAATATAATTGAAAATTTAATTATGAGTAATATTTAACAATGAAAAATATATTTAAGAATACAATATATATTACAGGTGTAGCTCCTTGGTGGTCATACGATTCTAGTAAATAACTCTGATTATTTTCAACAGCTTGCTGGAGTTCTTGTAACATTCTATGTTCTGTAGTAGAACGTGTATTATCAATCAATTGTTGTGTAACACCTCGTCTAGCCATTTCACTCTCAATAAGATCTAATGCAGCTTCATCTTCGCAGATATCGTATGGCATATTACCATCAGCATTTACGGAAAGTAAATTAGCACCCCTAAAAATAAATTATTGTTAGTAAACAGCAAAGTAAAATATAAAAAAAAAAAATAATTAGAATAACATACTTATCAATAAGATATTTAATTAGGTGTAAATGAGCACAAGTTGCTGCTGCGTGTAATGGAGTCCACTTTTCACTATCTTCTGCATTCACATTAGCACCAAATTCCACCAAGAGTTTCATCATTTGTTCATTATCATCAATACAACACTAAACAAATTTAAAACAATATAATTATTTTGTATTTTAGTTATATTAAACAAATATGTAGTTTCTTGACTAATCAGCATATACCTCTATACCTACTATAGATAAAAAACTTACAAACAAATTTACAAATTTACAATTTTAGAAAACTCAACCGTGGTTTAAACAACAATATTGTAAAATTTGAAACTAATATAATTTATATTTAGAACAGTTTTATTATTTTATTTTATTCATTACCTTGAATTTTAATATTATAGAAACACCTTTAAGTGTTGAATTATAACATATTATTTATTTATTTCATTTTGTAGAATATAATCATTATGAAATGGTACAGTAAACAAACAACATGGTAAAAACTACTACGATATAAAATAAGAATAAAATGGACAAATTAAAAATTTTATGGAAAAAGTAGGTGTAGAGGATACTGGATAGAGCTCAGGATGGGGTATTGATAGTAACCTAACCTGTTCTCATATCAAAAACAGATCATTAGCAAATTATCAATAGACAATTCTTAGGTATAATTAATTTTATGATTCTATCAAATTTAAAAAAAACTTTATTCAGAAGACTTAGATAATAATAATAGTAATAACTTACTTTAATAACTATAATAATTTTATGGTTTTCATACACCCACCATTCATAAAAATATACAATATTGCCAAAAAGAATATCATGTTTATTTATAAAGTAATGTCATATACTATGTAGAGTATTAGCAATTGTCAAAGGCCACACATATATATATCTAGGTAGAACGTTAATTGTCAGTCATAACTCAATCTCAATTTGTATGTGATACATTATTGCAATAAATGACTATTATTTTCAAATAAAACTAAATTTTGAGTCGGTTTTTACCATGTTATGTATAGTGGCATTTTTTCTGGATTTGTATAAATCATACATATATCTTATTATATCTTATAGGCATAAAATTAAAAAATTTTTTTTTGTAAAATTACAACGATTCATATTATTTTTGAATTTATGTAACTCAAAATGTACCTGATGCAGGGCAGTGAGTCCATCTTCATTCGTAGCATCTGGACTGACTCCTTTGACCAAAAGTCTCTTTACTGTAAACATTTACACAAACACAACTGTTAAATTGTTTTGCCCTACAAGATAAAATTAATTAATAATAATTTATTTAGGTCATACCTTCTTCAATATCATTTCTAGAAGCAGCTTCCAACAACATGACGTTGTCACTGAAATATATATGCCTATTGTTGCGCGGTGGAGATGACCGTCGACGCTCGCGATCTTTTTGTGCCCACAGTCGTAATTGTTGCACCCGACGTCGTCTAGCTAGGGCCAACCTATCTGCCGTGGGCATCCGCTCCAAATGAGACATTTCCAACACCAGCTCGGCGTGATCCATTCTGGTCAAAAGGCTTAAGAGTCGACGAATTCGAGCGATTTCTATCTGAGAAACGTTTAGTGTCGACTAACAACTGGTGACACCATTTCTTTTTACTGCCACCGGTTTGATTTGCATAGTTGAAATGTCCATTATCGTACACGGTGGTGTTTCTCAAACTCTGTCGTTCAACAACTGTTATACTTAATATTCGAATCTAAAAGTCACCGATAATCTTAAAATGTATGACGAACATTATTCTGAACAATGTTCAATAGGAAGAGATTCTTAAATCCTAACTAAACGACTAAATCTAAAATTAAGATGTATAAAAAATACTAAAAAAATACCGTTGTTTTTGTTATCACGTGTGTGTTATCAATAATTATTGTCACAATTCACAGTGGTTTCATCATTTTTGACCAATGGAGCGGCTCACTTCGTGGCGAATTGTCCGTAGGGCTACGTAAACACGTGAGAAAGAATGCGCGGTGAATTTGAAAGTTTTGATTGTTTCCAATGAGTGGACGTAGTCTTTATGAATTAATTATAGTTTATGTTATATTAATATTTTCTATATTTCGTAGGTTAAAATATTTATTCCAAAACATAACATAGTATACATTTTAAAATTATAAATCAATACCAACTTTACCAACTTGTGGTGTACCACTTTTTACCGACGATTGATGGATTTATAAGAATATAAATAGCTTAAAATTATATTTCTGAAAACATCCATAAATCTATCTAGTTTACCTATACTCTATAGCCTATGAAAATATCACTGTGCATGAATATTAGATAATAATGGGTAAACAGACATTTTCATCCTCATCAATTATTAAGATGAGACATTTAGCCCCTGGGAGTTATAAAACATTATTTAGCAGTAGGATATTTAGTCCCCCGGTATTTTAAATTCCTATTTTTTCTAATCTTAAATTCCAATTATTTTTTTAAAACTTAAAATTTCAGTACAATGCACCACCTGTCTTCCCTCGGATTTTCATTACTTATAAATCATAATTGTATTATTTTTGATAATTAAAGACCAGGTTTTGACATTTATCCATTCATTTTCAATGTATTTTAATTTTATAACTAATAAGTTCTGAAAAAATATTTGAGTTTTCAAAAATTTTTATTATAGGTACCTGTTTAAATAGGTATTTACATTTTAAAAACAACAAAAAGATGAATAACTAACAAAAAATATTGGTTTTATACTTAAGAGGGTGTTATACCATGTGTTGTCTCCGTCTTACAAGAGCGTAACACATCAAATTGTATGTTCAGCAGATCACACTTAACTCTGTTGGCTTAAAAATTAAAGTGAATTTACCTCTTATTAAAATTAAAGCTAAGATTATTATGCAGGGCTTCTCATGGGCTTTTTATTATTTATTAATTTTAAAGAAAGTTATGAGTATTTTAAATTGTACAAACAATTGGTGGGTCTAACATCCTCTTAATATGTATAGTAAAAATTTCAACTACATCAAATTTCAAGTAATCAGTAATTAATAAAAAAAATGTGTTTCTAAAGAAATGTATAACATAGCTTTTAACAATACTATGTACATTTATTTTAATATTTAAAACTCAGTAAAAAAGAAATCAAAATAGATTTTTTGGTTAACAACATTTTCTAACAAATACTAGCCCATTTATTTGCCTATATTGAGAAAAAATACACCTCAAGGGTAAATGGTTTGATTGCATTTTAGTATCATTAAGTATTTTATGTTATTTATCATTTCACACCCATAATTTATTAAAAGGATATATCATTAAATTTTCTTTGTGTGAATTTTAGTAAAAAAAAAAACATTCAGTTATAAATATTTATTTTAGATTATTAAAGTCGATAACAATAATGCATGACTCCATTTATTTCAATGTAAAGTATGTATAAAAAATTTTAAATTATATGGTTGCTTAATTATAACAAATACAAATATTTTTCCTTAAAAAAAAAATACATCACTTTATCGTCATTATCTTTACAAAATATAATGAAATAAACGTGTTGAACAATTCCTTCTCTATTACACGTTGTATATTAAAATTAAATATATTAAGAATTAGAAAATATTTAAAGGAAATAGTCAGCTGTATATTTTTTTGTTGGCATTCCACATCTCTCTTGTACAGCTGCTTCGAATATTATAAAATTTCTTTGAAGTGTTTCATTGAGTTCTAATATTGCAGCAATATTACCACACCTAATAATATATATATATATATATATAAATATAAAAAATAACTATACTATAGATATTATTAATCTTATAGTAATAATAAGCAGTATTTACCGATAACAATAATTGGGTGCCGACCAAATAGTAAGGACAGTTTCATTGAAATGCCATTTATAACCTTCCATGACTAATTGGTGAGCTCGACAAATAATATCTAGATCATTTGTAATATTGAATTGGGAGACAACATCAGAACCAAATAGGTATCCAGCACCTCGAGGACTCACACCCCATCCCTGAGAATCTAAGAAGCACATAATAGCATTTCACAACTATATTGAATATACAAACTAATAATTGATTATTTTAGATGTTTACTTTCAGGATCTGACCATAATAGATCACACATAGGTCCATCGTGGGGAACTTCCTGTTTTCTATCAATAGTTCTAATTTGATCCAATGTTTGTATTGAAGGTGACAAACCACCATGCACACAGAATATCTAAACATTTTAAAACAAGAAAAAACATTTAAAACTATTTTAATGAACAAATAACAGCAGACATGAATTGTACATAGATTTCAATCAATTAAACATACTTTTCCATCGATAATAGCAGATAAGCTTAGATAATCAAAAATGTCGGTACAATATCGCCATACAGCAACACTATTGTATTTTCGTAGGCATTCGTCATAAAATCCATATACTTGAGTGATTTGTCGTGATTCATGGTTACCACGTATTAATGTGATCCGATCAGGATATCGTACCTATAAAAATAATTATGTAACCTTTTCTCACTGAATAGTGAACATCAAAATAATGAAATATTAAGAACCACATTTTTAGGATAAATTGGTATGAACAAAATAAAATAAATTTAAACATAACTTATCAAAAAATAGTTTTTAACAATTTAATAGGTCTACTATTAATAAGTAGGTAGCTAATATAGTATATCAAATATACCATATTTGATAAGTAGAGCTAGAGAATACAAGACAAGTAAAATGTAATTTGTTAGTTTAAATAGTATCTATTATAATATCATATATATTATTATTATATTACACATATATCAAGTAAATTTTTTAAAAACAATAGTTTTTCGACACATAAGAGAATTAAGTAGAGAAACTTAAGATTTTTCTGATTGACAACATAGGTGTGAATTTCTCAAGAAATGTATTGATTACCTAATAATTTAATTGTTTAAAAATAGCTACTCATTTTTATTTATTGTAACTAGAGAACTAGGTAAAACTTTGGTAATATATCTTTAAAAAGTATTTGGTATTAATTCTCTTTATGTTTTACTATAAAATGTTAAAAATAAGTAGATACTAAATACCAGACATGTTTACTAAATGTATACTTACTTTTAAGGCAAGTAGAAGTAAAAATGTCTCAACACTGAAGAATCCTCGGTCAACAAAATCACCCATAAATAAATAATTTCTTTCAGGAATGTCACCGCCTATTTTAAACAATTCTTTTAAATCATAGAACTGTCCATGAATATCTCCACATACCTGTAATATAATTAAATGAATGAATGCAATTTTTTTCAATGATTTTTAAATACTGCTATTTTAAACATAATTTTAAATAATTTAATTTAGAAAATAGAGATAATAGGTACAAAAACAGATTGGTCAGTTTGTTTCGAAATTGGGATACTTTACCATATTAACTTAGATGTGTGCAGTACGATTAGGCACAGATTAACAGCAAAATGGTCCTAAGGAGTAAGGCTTAAAAAAAAAGGTATATGGTAGAACCTTGATTATCCGTCCCCCGATTAACCGTCAGGCCACTTGTGTGTGAGTAGGTTATAAATAATAATATATATTATTAACTTTCAGCTATTACCGTTTCGAAGAATTAGAGATATGGCAGTCAAAAAAGCACGTAATATGTTAAAACCACAAAAATTAACAGATTTTTATAATATTAATTGTTAAGTATGTATGTATGTAATTGTAAATAATAAAACTTTTTAATAAATTAAAAAAATAATAATAATAATGTACCAATAAGTAATAGTACCTAATTATATCAATATGTATGTCATAATTACTAAAAAAAAATAATAAATAATATGTATATATGTTTAAATTTTTGTTGCCCGCTTAATTGTCTTTTCAGTTATATGTAAAAGCTCTGGTCCCGAGACTGACGATTAATTGAGGTTCTATATTATTTTCAAAATAAGTAAAAACCACATTTTTTCAATGTTTGATAACAAAAACGTGCATAACATATTATACACCAAAGCATAAAGTTACCATACAAAATTAAACATTATTTATAATTTAACACTTATTCTTAGGTATTCAGATTGTTTATTGAATAAAAAATTTAAAAAATGACCAAATAGGATATGTAAATTTATTTTTTTTACTAATAATTGTAAAATTTAATTAAATCATAATGCAAAAACCCAACAAGCGCACAGCAAGTAATGAGACAAATACATTTTGGTGCCAAAAAAAATCAAGGGCTTCAGCCTATTTATTCCATATGTTAGTCTGCTCCAGAGTACCACTAGTAAAAGTGTTATGGATGGATTGTGAAATAAATTGTGATTTGGGAATATGACAGTGGCATACTTATAGTTACTTTGCAAACATCTCGTTTTTTAATGTGCTCTTTTAAAAGTTTATTATTTGTTTTGGACAACCTATAAGTTTTTGATGTAGGCAAAAGTCATCTGTTAGACATTCATATTTGTATTTACTGAACCCTTAACTTTCTAGACAGTTTTTTTTTATATTCAATAATATACAGTACTCATGAAGACAAACGATAAATTGCAAAAGTAAAAACTAAGAGTAATAAGAAAGGCTTAATTTAAAGTAAAGACATTTTCAAAGTGAATGATGCTCAACATGAAAAAAAGCCTTAAATTTATGGGACATTGATTTACAATTTTTTTATACTAGAACTGTCAGACGTTTTTTGATATAAATTGAAATGCCGTACGGCGTACGCTCGAGTTGTAGTAAATTCTGATAGCCAAATTCCAAATGACCCAAATATAAGTTTATATTAACTATATATTATATATCACGAAATATGACGTGCATGTGGATTCCAAAAAACGTATTACCTCGGTAAAATAATGAATAATATAGGTACTATAGTCTACCTACTACTAGTACCTCGACTAATACTATCTAATACTAATCTATACATGGTAAACACATTTCAGAACGAAAACAACATGGCTGTTGACGATGATATTGTTTTAACTCTTATAAGTTAGGGTAGTTGTTAAATTGTGACTTGTGTTCCTATAACAGTTATTGAACTCACGGTGACGGGTGAGTCGACACGTTGAACGTTGCTCTCTTCGATGAGTATTTCGCGTGCTTTTAAACACAATGTTTTCACCTCGTGTTCCGTAATGATTTCGCATTGTCTAAGCTGTTCGATTTGACGATCCAAGTCGTTACTGGAACCAGTGGAAACATGCATATTAATTGACGTTTGAATCATTTTCAAAGATGAACGACAGCCGAAAACTGATATAGGCCGGTATAACAGGTCGTCATTGAATATCCACCGTTAATCGTAATCGTTACCATTGAATTTTGATTATAATTACTTATTAAATATAAAAATATATTAACAACTTATTTATAAATTAAAATGAATGGTAATCGGTATAAATAATAATAAATATTATTTTTGGTTGTTTTATTCGTATTTCTTAAAACGAGAGTGGCGGGCAAGGGCCTCGGACATAGCCACGTGGTTGAGACCGAAAGTCGAAACGTTTCCCCTCCCCTGCAGTCACCATAAGTACGTACGTCGGATATCAGCGATAAGTTTCCGAACTTCGCCGACCAACCACCGACTTTTTGATGAGAGGTGAACGCGCCACTAAATGCTAATAAGAATATAATACTTTCCAAGTTGAGAGTTCCCGTTTTCCGGCACAAGTTATTGTCATCGCCCATCGGAAAAGATTAAGAATTAAGAGGATGTCAGCGCACTAGGTATATTTTGTTTACTCTCTCTGACCCACGCACAACACAGCAAATTTATGTTAAGCTGAACCAACCCTGGGTTGTTACTTTTAATATTAAGAGTGAATTCACCTATTATCATACTTTAAGTAATGTTGTTTGATTAAATTAGTTAATAGTTATATTATATTATGATGAATTCATAAAACTCATAATAATTAATGAGGGGTGGGTGCTTTCTGGTAAATGTCTAAGTTTGCCCCCTGTACAAATAAAATGATTTGAGCCACTGCATAAAATATTAAAATGATAGAATATAAAACAGATGTTGAGGTGTAATTGAATATTGATGACGATTTTAATTTGAAGTGCTTCGTGCAGCACTACAGTACCTACTACAACACTAAGCAGGCGCTGGTATATATTCTTACTCCTATGTACCTTTAGTACATTAGGGCATTCGCGTAGCAGGTAATCTACTGCAGACGAGTGATCTACGTACCTAAAAAAATTATTTTTTTAATAGTAAAAAACACATAATATTTTTTACTACGAGTACCTACGTAAATTATTTTATAAAATTCAGATGCAAGCATTTTAGGTAAACTCCGACCAACGAACAGTTTAAAACTAACGGGCACGTACTGCTTCTCATTTGATTGTACAATTTAGAATCTAGATGTTATTGAGTTTTATCACAACTATTCAATTTTCGATATTGTCGATAAAAAGGTTGATTATTAAGCGATAAAGAGACTATCGTAAACAGACGTATGTGTTAGATACAACAAACTACGACCATCCAATTATTCCAATTATGATTTTTCCCGACTATTTTACGTTTATAAAAATAAAAGTAATACAAAATACAGTAGGGTCTCGATAATCCGAAAACAGGCTAATCCGAATGGGCTTGAGAATTATCTTATCTTATCTAATATGCACATATGTATTTATAAATAATATTTTCCGGTAATACAATTTTCGATTATGTGTATTATGATAGTTAATATTTTTATATATTCATTGTCTTTTGAAATTGCGAGTTTTTACATGATTAAAACAGATGAAAATAAAATTTCATAATTTAAATTACAACAGAACTGATGTTTTTTTTAAGCCATAGGTAATCCGAACAAATAGCTAATCCGAGCGACCCCTTTCCCCAATCTCGTTCGGATTATCGAGACCCTACTGTATGCCCAATATGCTAAAAATTGCTTTTCTTAAAATATGACGAAATATAATGCAAAAATATGCAAATTGAAACTTATTATTTAGTTTCGCCATTTCATACAACAAATTTTTATCTCACCTAGAATAATTATAATATAATATAATAACAGGTAATAATAATTGTAGATCACCAACTACAGTACTACTACTACACCTAGTATAATACGATAGATCACCTGATAATACCCAAAACGGGGTAGTAGATCACCTGCTACACGAATGCCTACATTAGTACCTACCACCTACGATTATTTTACGACAAATCACCAAAGAATAAAATAATATGTCATGTTCACGTCCTGGCGACTTGCCGTCAAGAGAAATTCAGTGAATAACAACACAATGACAAGGTGCCTATAGTAGAGACCCACTGTACAACTGCACAGCTGTTAACTACTTTTTTTTGTGTGTCTCTGTACCTTAGAAAAATAGTTTCTAATAGCAAATTGGATTTCGTTAGTAGTTGGTACATACTACATAGAACATTTGGTAAGAAAAAAATGAATATGTTCAGTACTTCTTAAAATAATTAGGAAAAACCAAAAAAAATTTTTTAAAAACCTTCATTTTAAAATAGTTTTTGACAAATTCAATTTTATTTTTTTGTTGCAGTTAATACAAAAATAAATTACTATAGCCTTGAAATATTTCACCGAATTTCACTTGACTTATCAAATATTCGTATTGGCATTTTTTAAATATGACATAATATTTTCAAAATATTTTGTGCTATTTAAAGATTTGAAATTTTTGAGTTATTTTAATTTATTAATTCATTTTTTTCTTGACAATTAAGTTTATTCCCGAAATGATTCAAAGCTTCCTAGAATGAAATAATTTTTTTTCATGTTATTTGAGTAGAAAGATTTTATAAAAATGTATACATTTTCAAGATCATCAGTTCTTTTTTTGTAGAACACTGGAATTCCGAGTCATTATAATCGTATGAATGTATGATACCTATGTACTTTTTATAATTATTTGATGAACATCGTGTGTGAATTTTAAGAGACGGATTTATAGTTCGGATATTTTATATTTTCAATTTGTTATATTGTCGGTATCTCCCTAACTATCTCCCTAATAATACTGAGTATTGAATATTTCTGACATTTCCAGTCATGTCCGGAGAATAATGATCACGATCACGATCACAATTCACGAACTAATAGATGATATATTATAGAGGACTCGTCATCACAACTCACAAGCCACCAGTACCTGCTTACAGTTTGTACAGTGATTGTCTTGTTATGTAGGCATTTCATCTTAAACAATACGAGCTTACAATGCTTACACTGATCTTTTCTACATTCTACATTGTACTGTCGAGTGGTAATAACTCAAAAACTTAAAAACTCAATTTTTTTATTATTTCCCTCGAAAGTCTCTTAACACTTTACGTAGGTATATTAATAACATACTTTAATAGTATTATATCATAGTTGACTCGAAATTCGAATGTAAAATTGTGGTAAATATATGAGTAATTTGAAGTGTATCTAATCAGGGTATATGTATGTAAGCACATTATGTTAGTGACAATTATCGCGACTCGACTGTATATTGTATAAATGTATTATTAAATAATAAATTTAATATAATAAAGGTACGGGATAGAAACTGCCGATTATATGTATCAGCGCATGTACAAACTATATCCTCCGATCCTCGTACATGATATTAAGTCCAAATCTGGTATCGAAACCAGATGAATTTCCAAATGTAGGGTGTAGATGTATAGATGTGTCATGTGTGTAGTGTGTACCTAGGTACATTTTACCATGATTTACTCAATTTAGAGACAAAAATGAACATAATAGTGGACCAATATTTACTAAAAGAAAATGCAAGATATTTCGAAATTTAATTTGATTAAACTAATTTTAATGCAAGTCAAGACAGTTGGAAAATTCAAAAAAACTGATCTAACATAATTTGTAATAAAATATGCGGCGAAGTTCTTCTGTAATCTGTATAGACGATTCTTAAATTCTTAATGTAAGTATATATGTACAAACTAAAAACATATTTAGGGAAATACTCTGTTCACCCGCCAAACATGTCTTGACCAGCCTCAATCCTCACAGCTCACATAGTCCTATAACTTAATTAAAAAAGTAAAACAATAAAATCGGAAGACCAGTGTTAATTTATTAGGCTCAAAATTCAATCGCCAACCGCCAAAAAACCAATGTTATTTAATAGTTTCACAAATGGTATAGTGTCATACTGAAACTTAGACGTGGTTCTGAAAATCTAAAATGGGCTAGAAGCTAAATTTTTTTTAGAACAAAATACAAATAATACAATATAATAGACTATGGATAATGTTATAGGTAGCCTTATTAATAATATTTGATAACAATATTAACATTTTCTTTTCAACTTTAAATTTATAGATTATAATCCGTATACCTAATATATTTTATCATATTTACTTGTCGTAATAGTTTTGTGCAGATTATAAATTTGTTTAGATAAAAAATGTTAAATAAATTCATCCGCTCTGGATCCACGCCTGATGAGAGATGACCATAGACTCATTAACTAGTTAATAGTTAATAATTATATTACGATGATGACACTTCATAGAAGTTAAGGTTCAGTTAATTTTTAAATTAACTTGTAAAAATAATTTTTTAAGTGTTAGTTATTAGAAATTATGGCTTCTAAAAATCTCTTAACAATTTCCCTAATAACAAAAATCATAATATTGTGTACCGTATGTATCTAATATTACTAATAATATTGTTGACCACCAAAAAATACGCCGCCTTCCGATCTAATCATTTTAAAGTATTTGCTTTATCTTAGTTCGTGGTAATCATACTATATAATCATAAAAAAATATATCAATGTGTTATCAAAGATATCATAAAAAGATAAAAGATCCTAAGGTTGTGCTTTTTACTTTTTAGTTTTTTAGTTTTTACTTATTACTATTTACTTTATCACACTATTCACACCATCAGAAATCAGTATACACCAACGTTCAAACGTATGTGTGTCATGTAAATATGTCATATGTAGTGGTTAGGTGATATTCATTAGGTATCCTTTCCCAGTGTCCAACTATCATAAGTTGCCCACTTTTATAAACCTGTGTATATTATATAAAAGTGACAAAACTCGTGGCTAGTTGTTGGCAATTTTTTATATTAAAAATTAACTAACCTAATTCATTGAGTACGTATATTTACTGAAAATTTATAACTTTTATTTACTAATCTAGTCAAATAACTTGTTTCCATAACATTTTATCAAACTTGACGGAGCACACGTTATATGTTTTCAAGAATCTTCAAAGTGTTTAACTCAAACATAAATGTAAGTTGTCTGTAATATCAGTAGTCTTTGTAGCTGGCTTAAAATTAATTACCTACATGGCCACATTATATTTTTTTACTATAGTCTATTGGTTTATCATATATACATATGTTTAAAAAAAAAACCAATATTTAGCTAAACTTGAGCCATTCAATTTTTGGTATCTACCTATTTGTATTTTAAAAGTTAAACATTTTTGGATACCTAGTTAAGCAAATAAGTAAATTTTTATTTATCTATTTATTAAATATTACTACTTAATAACATTTTATACTTTGTTTTTAAATTAAACCATTAAATTCTTTGAATCATATTTTATTTCTAAATTATGATACTTTAATATAGTACTTTGATAGGTTGATTTATTAATATTCATATCTTTACCCTAAATATTACATTGTTAACTACTTACCTACATTCAAAATTATTTATACAGTGCTAAACTTGGTAATACACGACTGAGTACAAATGTTGGGGTGATTTTGGCCTCTCAAACAAACTAAGTAGGTACCTAAACTATAAGCACCTATGTAAAATAAATATAATTATAAGCTAATCACAACATTTTAAAGTTAGAATTAATAAAATATAAATTAAATAGCTTTTACTAATAAGTTTATTGTGTATTTTATCTGCTAAAGCTGTAACTTGTAACAATCACTAAGTTATCAACATAGATGTATGCAGAGTGTGTAGCTGCACACCTGTATAGAATTCTACATTTCTACATACTTTAAGTTGTTAGGGATTTAGAAATATTATATAATTTTTAATTACAGGTACCTATAACAAAATAGGTAATTGCTATGTTGTGCAGTAGGTATCAAAGTACAAACTAAAACAAATTTGCTTCAAAGTTGATGATCAAAGCATTTTTTCTACTAGAAAAAGTGTTTTCACATACAAAAAAAAGAAATTAATAGCTATCCCTACTAAAATTATTCAGTACACCCCACCAAAATAATCCTAAGACCTATGGTTATCTATTGTTATAATTGTAATGTGATTATGCAAATTTTATTATAATTTATATTATATACATATTTCACGGACCTGCCTGTACTGAGTTGTACATTCTTTAATATTATGATTATGTAAGGCTAAAGTCCAAATTTGTGCTACCTAAAATTAATTTTTTGCTATCTATAATTAGTATTGTAGCTGTAATATTGTGTGTTGACTCACCTTACCTAACATTCTAACTAATCAACTACTCAAATATCTCAGCACGGTAAGAGAAATATTACAATAATAAATAAATATATAATTTTATTAAATCTAAAACTCGTTTTTGATTTGTTTTGATATTCAATTTATTTATAATTTCTTTTTATTTGGGTAATTTAATAAAACCTCCAGTAAAGAATTTTGAACAGTTATTGAAAACACATCTATGTATTTGGACAGTTAAATGAATTAATTTTCGTTGTAGGTACATAGTTTTTTTTGTCATGAATATTTGTATTTATTTTATAATCTCAAGAAAATAATAAATTAATTCTTTATAATATGATTCCACACTTTTTGCAACATTTTAATATATTATAATAATATTTGAGACAAGAATGATTTATATATGTGATAACTAAAATGTATGCTTTAAATAATTCAAAAGATTTTACAGTAATTAAATTAAATAAACCAAGGCCGTAACTGGTGGGGGGGTCCAGGGGTCCGCCCCCCCCGAAATTTTTAAAAGTAGAAACATTTTAGCGGTGAATACTGTTTAACTATACTAAAACTATACCAAGAAAAAATGTTAGCCCCCCCCCCTGAAATTTTTTTCCAGTTACGGCCTTGAAATAAACCTATATTTTGTGATTTAATTTTTAAATGATTTATTTGTAAGTAAATGATTATTGCACAACTGCATAGGTATTAAATAATCACATCAACTATAATATTAAGTAATATTTTGAATTTTGTAAACCTTCTTTCTTTGTTTATTTTCTATAGAACAAAAACTACTTGACCGTTTTCAATATAAAGTTATATTAATTATTAATAGATTCTTTGAGACTCAGAGAGCACGTTTGTAGCTTAATTTTTTTTAACCCCTATATATTGCTATAGGGTAGCTCACTCTTGAATTTAGTTTTGGCTTACAAAGGTTGAATTTTTTTTTAAATTTAAATGGTGGCCCTTGGTTATAAATTTATGCCTATTATAATTGGTGGAAATATAGTATAAACATTGTTTTACAAATATAATTTTAAAAAAACATCTTAAAATCAAATACCTATGAACACAATTACAATTTCTTTTATGATTTCTTTTCTTGATCATGGATATATTTTTTATGTAAACATTTAGAGATGATAAAAAATCTGTACAACATTGGATTTATGTCAGCTTTCATGGATTTGTTGAATCTTGTGAAATGTTTGTGTTTATATCAAACATATGTCTTGAACTTAGAAGTGGAAAATCAAAAAATTAATTATTTTAATTGTATTTGTAATGTATATTTCAACTGAAGCAAAACAGAAAATGATAAAAAGATAGATAAATTTTAACTCTGATAATCTTGCTAGTATTTTATATTATCATTAGGTGTAGGTAGCACCTTTTTTTAATTAACTCTTAGGTATATACTTTTATTAATATTATTTAACAATTTGCATAGTAGTGATTTGTATCAAATCAATAAGATAAATTGTAAGACTTGTGTATAAAAACAAACAATTATGTTGTGGTCTGGCTTTTGATTCTGGTGGATAAAGTATTTTGCCTCCTCCCCTATCTTTTTACCCAATTACGCCACTGCCTAGTATGTTAGTGAAGTGTTGGAAAAATAGATTACGTGTTATATACTTGTATAAATTATATACTAATGTATACTATATAATGATGAATTATTTATTTTTAAGTGGTTCATGTTGCATCAGAAAACTAAGTCGTTTATTAGTTACAGATATCCACATTTATCAGTTAATCTCAATGATCTCATTTATTTTTCCACCGCAACACTTCCTTGAAATTAAATCATCCTTTTGTTTTACTGAATTTAGGCTTTAGCTTTATATAAGTACCTACCTATTTTATATTTGAGTTAAGTTATAATCTTTGTATTTTGTTGTTTGATATGGTCTACTTAAAGATATAACTACAAAAAGTGTAGGTACAATCTACTCTATTTAAATCGTAAGGTTTTCATATTTCTGTTCATTGTGTCATTGTGAGTACCTCAGTAATTCAATGTATAGCATAAAAAGATAAAATAATTTTCTTAACCAATAAAATGAATAGTTTATTTATATTCTTTTTAGACATTAAATATTTTGTTTTATTTCTTTAGAAAATGGAACCATTACATTATCTTAACATTCCAACAGAAAAAGCAACCTTTTCTATGGGCTGTTTTTGGGCTCCCGACAGTCTTTTTGGTTCTACTCCAGGAATTATTACTACAAGAGTTGGTTATGCAGGCGGCACTGAAGGTTTAATTCCCACGTATAGAAACATGTAAGCTTACCATTTTGTGAAAATTTAAAATTTTCGGTGAATAAATAATTTTGTTAATTTTAGTGGTGACTATACAGAAGCCATTCAATTGCAATATGACCCAAATACTGTCTCTTATTTAGAGTTATTGAAAATGTTTTGGGACCATCATGATCCTACTGCTAAGTTTAAAAAGCAAGTATGTTTTATTAATTTTAATACCTACTTTTATTTTGAATGCATATTTACCATGCATTTAATATTTAAATATTAAAAAAATATATTATACTTTGTTAAACTATTTGTTGATTTATAGTACTCATCGTTCATATATTATCACAATGATCAACAAAAATCAGAAGCCGAGCAGACTCTAAATGAGAAGAAAGCCAAGGGTCTTGATATCCTGACTAAAATAGAACCTGCTGGTCAATTCTTCAATGCTGAAGAGTAAATATTATTAGTTTTTAATTTTTTACAATCCCTATTTTATAAACAAAATACTGATGTAATGTATTTAGTTACCATCAAAAATACCGATTGCAACAACACAAGAACCTATGCAACGACCTTGGTCTTAAGACCGGAGATGACCTGATTAATTCCCATGTAGCTGCTAGACTAAATGGTTACGTCGTTGGTCAAGGAGGAATTGATCAGTTTGATTCAGAAGTTTCAAAGTTAAGATTAGATGAAGCAGCAGTTTCATACATAAGACAATTAGTGATTAAATACGAAGGTCAAGGATTACATTGCTGATTAAAATATTTTGTTTTTGTGTTTTAAAATTACAATTTATTTTGTAATGTATCTACTTACATTGTTTGCACTTTTGGCATGTTTAAATTGTGTAAAACTATTGAATATTAATAATCTTCGGACAAATCAATAATTGAGTATTACCTATACTAATAGTACAATATACATGCATGATGAATTATTGGTGTGTTCTTTAATATTGTGGTATGGTCTATTATGTAGTGTTAAATCCAGTTTACCAAACAAAACATATTAGTTGTGTTAGTTTTAGAAATCACTAGAAATTTTTTTATCAAAAGATAGAAGTGTATGAACCTTGGAAGTTCTGATCATACTTTGAAGTAAAACAAGCAGTTAGATTACCACTCTACTGAACATTGTCATTGTGTTAAGTCACTATAATGCTTACAAGCATAATGGTGTTATACATGAAGTCCAATTTTTGTTCAGTTCAACTATTAGTTATGTCCAATGTACTTTTATAAATGCCAAATGGTATACTTGCAAACCGATAATCGAATGTTTTCTACTGTTGAAAATATAATTAATCTGTCGGGGTCATTATTCCTATCATATTATATATGAAATTTTTCATTACGTGACATAACATTGTATCGATAGTAATTTAACTAATTGAATTGCAACTTCAAATAAAATATGAGGTGTAGTTGGTTTCATTATATTTTGTTGATGAAGATCGTTATGTATATTGTATACATCTTATAAGGTACTGTGTATAAAATATAATTAATAATAATATACATTAAAAATTTGAAGTACCAACAAGTATTAAATTGCAACAAAATAACTAGAATTTTTATTCTTTATTATATAAATATTGAATTTTGTCCAAATTTTAACTTAAAATGTCTATAAAATAATACTCTGTTTAATATTTTTGGTTACATCACGATGATCTACTTATGTGGAACCTTAGATTAAATTGTAAAGCTTTTATTGTAAATTATACATTGTTTATTTATTTATGGCAAGGAGTGTACATAATTTTACAATGAATAAAATAAGGAAAATAACAGTAATTATAGAATATTAAAAACAGTAATTATAAAATATTAAAATTAAATTGTACATGACGATTATTAATCCAAAATCGATGCAAAAATAACAAATTTTAAATTTGTTATCAAAATTAGTCAATTTACATTATATAATTAATATATTAATGTATACTAAGACCAACGACAGAAAACGCTTCTTCTTCACCGTAGACAAATGAATGAGCTTCACTGTCTAGTAGCTAATTTCTACCATTCAACTTTCTACTCGCCACAGTAAATTCTCAAGTTAGGGCTGATATAATGAAGGGTATGCCCAGAAAAAGACAAGTTTTGGTCACAACCCAGTAGCGTTCCCTCTTGAACCTTAGTATAGTAGTATAATAATATAATAAGTCATAGGCACAAATAGTGTTATACATCTTTAAAGCCTTGAAGGGGTAGAGGGGCCAGAGTTAAGTCTAATAGATCATATAGAAATGGCAAGGACATAAAAAATGCTTTTGTTTTATTAGTGTAAGAAAACTGAACTATAAATAATTAATATTATGTAGTGTATAATAGAATATTTTTTGTTAAATAATCATTATTAAACTAAATTAATAGAGGAATTATCTTCCTTCAACATACACTACAATTAATAAATGATACATATTATAATAAAACTAACTTAAAAACAACAATACATAAAATGTTAAATAACAGCTTTATATGGAATAAAATTATCTATCATAATAATCAACTCTACCACCAGTTTTATAACTTCTCATGGCTAATGTGTTCACTAGTTTTTGACAAGTGTCTTCTACTTTCACAATATATTGTTTTTGCTGTCCATTTGTAAATTGTTCTCGTACTACCTCGTCTTTTGAATTCAAACTAATATTTGTATACATATCAGTCAACACAGGGCCTAAAAAAAGTGCAAATAATTTGGTTCAATTAGCAATAAAATTTTTTTTACAGCAAATGTTTTACCTGGGGAATAGCTAAGAATGTTCAACGTGGGATTTTCTAAAGCCAATACACGGAAGTACATTTCTCTACTAGCTTTTCCAACACAATAATATCCAACTGATTTAAATGGTTCAATCCCTAATAATGAAGTTATATTGACAATGCATCTTTCAGCTGTATCTGAATTGAACTTAGATAAAAATACACTTGTTAATCAAGTTACTGAATATAAATTCAACAACATGTACCTAGAAAAAAAAATATTTTTAATTTTGGACTATTGATTATTGTGCATCTTATAATCAAATGAATTCATATAACAAATATTCATGTAAGTTCAATGTCTTGATTAAGTCAAACACACATAAATATTTGTTTATTTATATTTTACGGGCTGAGCCCATGTATACCTAGATAGAAGTATACAGTTTGCAATTACATATATAACATACACATAAACAATGGCAATAGTTGAGAAATATAGCAAAAGGAAACAGAAAAATAAAGCTATATATAGCTTTGTATATTTACCATATAAATTCTCTTTAAATTTATAGATTTTAATATTTAACTTATACAAAAAAAAAATAATTACTTGTTCCACTCGTCAGGATCATTCATGTCAGCTGCAAGATGATCTAGATTACCAACTGACCCAGCATTATGAATTAATAAAAATAATTCGTACTTTGTAGAATCGATAGGTTCAACAATTTTTTCAAACATTGTTGCGTTGGAGTTATATAAATCCACGCTATAATACTATAACACCAATACAATTTTGAATTTAATAGGTGATAAAAAAATACTAATTTGTTCTATAACATACCTCTACCAAAATATCATTGTTTTCTTTGTTCACCATTTCTTTGGTTTTTTCCAGACCATTTGTATCTCTAGCCATAAGAACAATGGTTGACTCTGGAATCAAAAGTTTACCAATTTCTACAGCTAAACATTGTCCTATTCCTTTGCTAGCGCCAGTCAAAATGACACATGTACGACGACTCCAAAACTCATTCATCTTGAGTTTCTTGTTCAATTAGTCGTTGAGTTTCAGTTGTTGACAAAGGCTGTTCTGGATTGATCCAAGAAGAAAGTCCTGAAGGTTGGGTGACTGTCTGCTCGTTTTCAAACACTATATGATCTGAATCCACCAAATATTCTAAACAAGACTTGCGAGCTTCACATAGTTGATCGACAATTTGGCGGCGTTTGGTACCATCAGATTGTGAACCGTTCTTCAGTATTTTTAGTTTATGCTCTATTGAACATCGATGGTATCAAATATCAATATCAAATAACCAGTTTATGTTGTAATATGATGTAGTGATTACATAATACTAATTTGTATTGCATAATAATGATATCCTACTTAAATATGATTACTCCATAGCAGAGAGACGACTTACCCAAACGCTGTAAGTATTCTTCTTTGTCAGGCAATGGTTGGAATGACTGCTGGTCGGTGTCAAAATTGTTTTCAAATTGAAAATCAACAGCGTCCGTTGTCAGCTGTGGCCAAGGATCTAATGTCTGGAATCCATTTGACGTACAAGAGTCCATCACGAAAAATGTTGCATTGTATAATAAAATAAACAGTCAACAAATGATAACGTGTACACCCCTTTGATAATGTACATAAACAGAAATTGCAATACTAATTAGTCAACAAATTAATTAGTAGTATTAGGCAGCAGCTAAGTATATTAATATTACTGTATTATTCCACTCTTAAGTTCAATAAAATAAAAATATAATATTTTGAATCTGTCGGCTGTGCACCTAATTTTAGTAATCGGTATAGATGACAGAATATGTATGTAATTATTAGACAATAGCCAATGCCCAATAGACAGTTGGCAGATTGCAGCTAATCGGTAACTTTTAGGAAAATAGTTCGCTCAATTCATTGTTTAGGAACATGTACTTTTATTTTCATATTTTGTGGTGATAACAATATTGTGATAAGTGATACTGATAATTGATAATACAATTTGGTACCTAAATGAAAATATTTTAAATGTCAATAGGATTATTATTATTTTGAATGTGCTATACTCACAGTGGAGGTGTCTGTGGGCGGTGGACCGCGGCGGTACTGTAAGTGTATCCCGTGGTGTCGCCGTCGGCACCTGGTCCCTCGACGACAAACTGCGCGGTGGCCGGATGGTCAGCGGCGACCGGCCCCGCTGCACCGAACGTCAGTTTTATATTATACTTATCTATGAGTTCAAGTATCTTTGCAATTAGTAAATACAATTAATAATAATACATACAATAATACAAATAATAGTGTCTTTTTATACAGTGAACGTATTTTTTATTTAATACTGTAGGAATATTTAAATGACTTATATTACCTAGGACCTAGGTACCATCACAGTTGAAAATAGTTTTTCAGTATGCGTATCTTCTTCACCTCCGGCCAATGTCTTAACTCCCCACTTTTGATTGGTTGGTCTTTTTCTGTGTTAGAAATGTATGTATATGATTGAGATTGACAACCAATAAGAAGTAGAGTCCTACGATATAGATGAAGTACGCACTATGCGGCATTACGGCTGCCCGTAATGTTACAGCAGTCTAGTGGACCACAGTGTACGGTTGAATCTGAGGGTGTGAAAAATAAAATAAAGTAAAAATACTGAGGTTCAAACTTTAAATAGAAAATTTTAACCAAAACAAAACGAACCATTTCTATAATGGACGTTGAAGAAGTTATTGCTGTTTTTTACATCTATGATCGCTTTATACAAAAGAATAAAAAAAAGAAATACTGGATTCGGATACATGTACCTTTCTTACAAATACGAGATGAAACCAGGCTTTTTGATATATTTTTTGAACACCTCAAAAAAAACGAAGACTAGTTTTTTGGTTTACAAGAGAATGAGTTTAAAATTATTTGAAGAATTATCGTGTATTTTAAGAACTTTCATAACGAAGAAAGACACACGATTCTGAAAAAAGCTAACCACCGTACTACGGTAAATAAAAAAACGACTTATTTTAAAAATGTTATAATTTATAAATATTCATAATTACAGAAGAAAATGCACATAATATTAATAAATATAGAGTGTCGTTATTATAACATATATTTTTATATTATTATAATTATGATTGACTCAATGACATATCATTATTTTATTGAATCGAATTGAATTAAAAAGGTCTATAAAGGAGTTTCACTTTCATGACACTTTTGTACGTGGCCGCTGATTCCGCAGATGAGAAACGTGATAGCAACTGTGTTAGGTTATTTAAAATATTTTCCTGATATGGGGTGGTTGCAGGCATTATAGATATTCGTATTGGGGTATTCATATGGTTGTAAGGATGATGTCTTCTTTGTGCCAAATTATGTTCATTATGTGGACTATTCTGAGTATTACAGTCGGCCCATGTCAGTGGCGTATATACGAATTATTTTCACTATGGGCCAATTTATCAATTATCACTAGTCAAGCAGCATAGCCATAATTATACATTTTTAAGGGAGCAGCTTCGTGGTTATATAATTAATAATTATGACATATTATACAGTTCAAATAAAAATTGCGCAATTCAATTTTATAATTATTATGTAAAATTAATTCTTTTGTTTCTTTTTTTAAAAATATTGACAGTGTCGTTTGTATATTTTAATGTTATCTTACTATGAATTTAACATCAAAGTCAATAAGTCATTAAAGCAAGTCCCGTTAATATAACATTTCCTTGTTGATTCCTCAAAAATGACTTTAATCAACCGGCTAACTTAATTATGGTGAAAAACTGTTAACAGTGTAAATATACATGCAATGCTTTAATTGAACCTGCAATTTCACTATGGGCTCTGGCCTAGGGGGCTTCCCCCCTATATACGCCAGTGGCCCATGTATTTGGATAATTTGACATCTGAGCGTCTTGAATGACCTTTAAAACGTCCAATTTTGTTTGCACAAATTTTATTTTGGTATTTTTTTAAAGTCTTTTACCAGAGTCGTGAAAAAAGACGAACTTCGTCGTCTTCAATATTTTTGGTTTCTAAATTTGTATTTAAAACCTCTATTAACTCCCTACCATCATTTTTATTTTTTTTATTATGTTTGGTGCCCACGAGGAATCGGATGAACGAGCAGCTGCTTCACCTTCCACGATTTCATATTCATTATTGCTTTCTGCATTTGAGGTAATATTAAAAGTTTTTGAGTCAACAGATACCGCATCTTTAAAAATAAAAGGCTGTCGTAGAAAACATAGGCACATTTTTTTTGAGGCGTAAAACCGCTTTTGGTCTCCTTTGCTTTGCGAGCCTTTAAAATCAAGTATATTTCTCCAATTTTTCCGAAAATTCAAACCTGAAAAAATAAATAGTTTCAGATATTTGGCAATCCCGTTTCATATGTAGAACTGTACACTATGTATTTCGGATTGGAATTAGTACTGTAGCAGAAATTTCCGAGAAGTATGTGTTGCAATATTATGGTTTTGCTTAAAAAGATATTTATATACCTGATTACCTGAACCAAAAAAAGAAATGTGATATCAAATTGTAAATGATTTTTGAAGAGATCGAATTTTCCTCGTATGTGCTTGTGTTGAGTTGTGCATGCCATGATATATTGATATATCATATATGTTATATCAAGTATCAACCTAATTGGTTTCAACTTCAAACAGTTATAACTCATATAATGTCATTTTATACTATCATCAAGACAATATTTTATTGTGTGTTCTTGAGAATTGTACATTTCCACATAATACTATATTTGTATTTATTTTTATAAATATGCAATATTATTTGCATGTCGTAATATTGTATGGTGTATTTAATTAAATTATTTTTATCGAACAATTCTGGTTAACGGAACAAGAATTAAATTAAATTAATTTTTAAATTCCTATTTTAGTAATATGCAGTAAATAGTAATATGCACCATCAATTATAATTGTATTATATACATATATAATTTAATTATTGATAAACTAACATAGCTTGGATTTGATTTAACATGACTCTTATTTATTAAATTTATATCAATAACAATCAGTTATGTTTTTGTTGAGTTAATGAAAATTAAATTTCAAAAAGTTAAAGTTAATTTAACTTTAACTTTTTAACTCGTTTATGGCCAGACTCGCTATTCGTGACGATAACTATAAATTTGTACTAATAGACGTTGGAAGGTATTCGTTAGAACAAAGAAATGTTATCAATTGTATTTAAAATACATATTATGACGTTTAGACTCCAGAATACACATTAACACATATCAAGCAATCTGTTATGGTCGAAAAGGCCGCAGCGATCCAAGCGACCGGTTAGGGCAGCCGCAATGAGTGATCAAATAAAATTGATATAATTTGATCGTGCCCCAATGAAAAGATAATACAATTTAGAACAGAACATCTTTATAGAATTAACGTATAGCTTGCGATCGACCCGCGGACGGCTGGCCGCATAGTGCATATATACCCTGAACTCTGAAGAGCTTAAAAGCATATAAAAAAACTGTGATAGTACCTAAAACCTATCTGTTGATAATTAGTACAAATAATTACGAATTAGTACAAATTACAAATATGCAACATAACAAAAATTGTTTTGAGCTGATTAGAATCACTTAGGCTGTGAACTGTAGTATAGACTCCAAATTTATGTACAATATACTGAGTCAAGAACATTATCTGTGAAATATCGTTTTATTTTTTTGATATCACTTACACGAAAAAAGTTCTTAATGTTTCAAAATCCATTATTTTTGTGTTTTTCAAACTTGAATAACTTTTATTGTATTATATATCGAAAATTGAAAACGATATTTTACAGCCAAAGTTTTCCTTTTTATATGGTGAAAATTTCGTTTCTTAGTTATGAGTTATGACTGTAGTCTTCTCGGCTCTTTCCCGCGGCGAAAATCAGTTATTGCTATGTTTTACATTTTCTAAGACGGAAACAACACAATACTTGGGAGAACACGCCAATTCTGCATATCCTCAAGTGACACCATCTATCATTGAGCCCGGTTCCACAATGACAGGATCGTACGCTCGTAGGTAGGCGGGACCTCAAAAGTCAGAGGAGGTGATAATTAATTATTGATAAGGGGCTTTGGAAGCGCCGTTTCGAAGGCGGGAACGTTTAAAAGTTTAGAAATCTGCGATTGAATGGGATCGATGGTCGATACGATCTAGTCTTGTAACCAAAATCATACATCT